GGAACCTGCCTCCCTACCTTCCCCCCAAATGGCCCAAACAGCCAATGACGTCGCCATCCCACTGCAATCCTCTGTGAAATGGTGGATTGCCATGGGATGGCATGGGACTCTCGTTTGCCAGGGGAGGAAATTACTTGGCCATTTCCGAATGGCATGATGCCATCCGAAATTTGTGAAAAGTGAGGGCGTTCGCCAGGCACCAATGATTCCATTTGGTTCGGACGGCATTAGAGGCTCGGCAGATTTTTTACGGGCTGACCAGCCTGACGGAGCTTAACGAACCCTATCAGGAAGCCGAGGCTGACCTTCCTGATCCCCTCGTTATCCCGTCGTTTTTGCTTTCAAAGGTGCTGGCGAACACCGCCCACGGGATAATGATGGGATCAGGAAGGTGGGTCTCGCCATCCTGATCCCGTCAGTTAGGGTTCGTTAAGCTCCGTCAGCCTGGTCAGCCCGTAAAAATGCTGCCGAGCCTCTCCTATCGTCCAAACCAAAAACCAATGTGGGGGCATGGCGAACGCCCCCATTTCGAAACCAAATCGAACTGCTCGACGGCATATGGAAGCGGGGACGCAATTTCGTCCCCAGGCAAAATTCCCTCCCAAGCTATGCCATCACCATCCCCCCTTTTTCAAAGGACAGCGATGGCACAACGATTGCATTGCCGTTCAAAGCCCTTGGGGGGAAGGTGGGGATGGAGGTTCCCGATACGGTTGCGTACTTTCGCTTTTCGGGAACAGAAGTTTCTAGAGTGGCATTACGCCCAAACCTCGGAGGTGGGTTCCGCCTCCGTTTCCGGGTGCGGTCGCGATGCCGATGCCATCTTTTTCATTCAAAACTTCGATTTGCTGGCGAACAGCACCCTTGTCTCCACCCGAGTCTGCTCGTTTCGCGGCTGCTTCCACCACCACACAAGCAGTCCTGCCCGCACTGCATGGCTCCTGCACTATGGCGGTGTTCGCCAGCACATTCGAAAACATGTGGCATTTTGACGGCATCGGCATGGTGACCGCATCTGGAAACGGGGGCGGAACCCGCCCAAGAGGTCTGGGCGTAATGCGGCCCACGAAACTTCGATTCCCAAAACGGGAAAATTCGCAACCGCATATGGAACCCCCAGCCCCACCTTCCGCAGTTCCCCTCTGCCGTGCAATGACACAGCCATGCCATCGCCATTCACCGTGGATAGGTGAATGTCGATGGCATCGCAGGGGGATGGTTTTTGCCAGGGGAGGAAACTACGACCCCGATTCCATATGCGGTCAAGCATTTCGAAATGGGTGAAAATTGGGGGCGTTCGCCACGCCCTCACTTTTCTAAGAGGTTCGGACGGCATAAGAGGCTCGGCAGCATTTTTACGGGCTGACCAGGCTGACGGAGGTGAACGAACCCTAACTGACGGGATTAGGAAGGCGAGACTTACCTTCCTGATCCCGTCGTCATCCCCTCGTTTTTGCTTAGAAATGTGCTGGCGAACACCGCCTATGTGACACTGCTCATCTTGCTGCCAAGACCTCGTCATTCAACAGATTCAGCGCTACTGCTGGTACAGGGGGGATACCTCCTGTGCACACTAACGCACAAGAGATCGTATTCAATCAAATGGTGGCGGAAGTAGGTCTAACGGTGGCGGAAGCGGGTCCAGCGCTGGCGGAAGAAGAGGGTAGAATCTTGGCGCAAGCCGCAAGCGGGATGGAGGCTGCTCGATTGAGTGGCGGGAAAAGCGGCGAGATTCCGGGACGTATTTCCGATTTAGAAATCGTTTCAGACTTGGGCGGGGGGGATTTGTCAGTGGCGGGAAAATCGCATGAAGCAGACGCGCTGTTGAGAATTCTCACAAGGGCTTCGCTTGGGGAGGACGATGCGGTGGAGAGCGGTACGGAGGAGCAAGATTGTTTGCTTCGGAAGCACTCTCCATGCAGTGAGGCTCTCGAGCCGCCGTTCCGCGCGGAGGGTACTTCGTCGGGAGCGACAGCAGCGTTGCCATCGGACGGACTTCGCGATAGCAACGAGCAGCAGCAGCAGCAGCAGCAGCAGCACGAGCCGGTGCGCGACGATCGTGAGAAGCAACCGCAGCTGATCCCGGGCCTATCGGACGACGTCGCGCGGCTCTGCCTCGCGCGCCTTCCCCGCCGCAGCCACCGCTGCGCGCGCGCCGTGTGCCGCTCCTGGGCGTCGCTGCTCCGCTCCCAGGAGTTCTTCACCCTCCGCCGCGCGATAGGGCGACACGAGCAATGGCTAGTCGTGCTCGCGGGGGGGAGAGGCAACCGCCCGTTCCGCTTAGAAGCCTTCGATCCCTCGCTGCTGCCGCCGCCGTCCGTTCCGTCGCTCGTTAGCCTGCACCCGATACGGTCACACTTCTTATGGGGGTGCCAGCTGGCGACGGTGGGTCGCGGGCGGTTCGTGCTCGTGATTGGCGGCGCGGTCGGGACGGACGCGTATCACACGCAAAACGCGGTGTGGCGGTACGACGGGGTGACGGGGCGATGGTCCTCCGCGGCTCCTATGCTGGACGCGCGGAGTAACTTCGCGTGCGGGACGTTTGGGAGGTTTGTCGTCGTCGCGGGAGGGTGGGACGCGAAGCGGGAGCCGTTGCGATCCGCTGAGGTGTACGACTCTGAGAAGGACACGTGGCACAGGTTGATTGGTTTGAACAGGAGGCGCGGGCAGTGTTTGGGTACAGTGTTTGAAGGGAAGTTTTTGGTGCTTAGTGGGGTGGATCGGATTGCTAATAACGGGACGACTATAACGACGACGCTGGGTTGCTGTGAGGCGATGTCTCTTAGCGAGGATGGATTGGAACGGCTAGTGAGAGGCAAGGAGAGGCGGGAAGAGGAGGATATGGTGAGGGAGAGAGAGGAAGGTTCACACACAGAGATTGGGCGTGAGGGAGAGGGTGAGAGAAAAGGTGAGGGAGAGGAAGAGAGAGAGGAAAAGGTGAGAGAGAGGGAGGGAGAGGGAGCAGGGGGGAGGGATAGTACCAGGAGCTGGGCGGCTGGTGGAGAGTCTTGTGTGACTGTAGGGGCTGGGGAAGCGGTGAGAGGAGAGTTGGGAGACAATGGGGAGAGGGGAGGGAGATTGGGGCAACCCGATGGGGAGCAAGAGGGGGGACGTGAGGAGGGAAGTGCGTGTGGTGTTGCGAGTGTGGGGAGAGTGTTGGGGAGCTCTAGCAGCACAACCACGGATAGTCGCACAGGCAGTTGCGTGGAGCAGATGAAGCAGGAGCAGGCGGAGGAGCAAGAGGGGCGTGAGGGCAAGGAGGGCAAAAAGGAGAGGAAAGGAGAAGAGGAAGAGGAAGAGGAGCAGCAGCAGGAGCAGCAGCAGCAGCAGGAGGAGCAGGAGAGGCACGCCCTTGGTTCCGACGGCTCGCTCTCCTGGTCAATCATGGAGGCAGCATGGCTGCTCGTATCCCTTCCCGGCTCGCTTGCAGTCGTAGAAAATCGCCTCTTTGCCGTCGCAGACATAGGCTCATCCCTCCGGGAATTTGACCCGGAAACAACTACATGGTGGGATGTGCTTCAGGTGCCGTATCCCCAGAAGGGCTTCCGGCTGCTAGCGCTGAACCAGGGGTTGCTGCTGCTCGGGGTGTATGGTGGGCACTGGCTGATTCCGCAGAAGCTGCCGCTGGGCCAGGGGTTGAGTGCGGCTGCGCGGGCGGATGGAGCGGTGCGGAGCGGTGTGGAGGCGCGGCGGCAGCGGCAGGCGGTGCATTGGGATGGGCTGTCGCTGCTGCACACTGATGCTCTTGCCTGGGCCACTCTCACGCTTTGAAGCTCCTGCACACTCTCCTCATCTCTTCTACCTCTTCCTCTCCCACTCCACCTCTCTATGTCTTCCTCCCTCTCGCTCTCTCCTCTTTCTTTTTCAGCAGCAGGTCTGCTGCACTGCAATGGCTGTTTATTCCCCGCAGAGCCTCCAGCCACCGCCCTTCGAACTACCGTATTCAGGAAAGCTACTAGCTGATCAACAGCAACGCTGAAAGTCTGTCGCACGCGGCCTCCTCATGCTCGTTGCTCTTCATTGGCATGGCAACGGCAACGGCAACGGCAACGGCAACGGCAACGGCAACGGCAACGGCAACGGCAACGGCAACGCTGGTTGCCCTTTGAGACGTCACAAAGGCCCATACCGTATTGGTGCCACAGCAATGCTGATTTGCTCGTCTGTGCCGTAATACTGCCTGCCTGCCTGCCTGCCTGCCTGCCATCACATTGTTCATTGACTTGACACTGCTTGCAACAGCACCCACATTGGGTGTGTCGTTCCCTACCTTACGACCGAGCAATTGCATTGAATCTGGTCATTGTAAAGAGCCAACAATGTCTCAAACGAGTGGCATCATTTCTCACAGCACACAATATGCAATGGCTGTTGTTTGCAAGAGACATGTGTGCGCACATGCGAAACATTTGAAAGCCTTCCTGCAGGTATACCATAGACCTCCAGTGACCTGCTGTCACCACTAAAGATGCTGTAAGTGGTGGTACGTATTTTCACCAACTCACTTGCAAGCTCGCCATGATTGACGGCGGGCGGTGCGTTACCGACAACGCCGATAACGTATAAATAACGGGCCGATAATCCATTCAATCGAAGCCTTCGCACGGCACATATAATTGAAGCTGCCGTGACGTGACGTGCCGGATGCTGCCGCTCAAATTCAAAGCTGCCGTGTCGCTCCAAGCCTGCATCCTCCACCATACCTCCTCAATGCAGGATACGCTAACACATGCCTTGCTTTGCCAGCTGGGTGTCTGTCTCAACGGCAGCAGCAGCAGCTGGTTCCAACCCACGGCCCCTTCTGAGTGACTGATCCCAGCAGCAGCTAGCCCATGAATCCATGACTTTTTTCCATGACTGATCTCTGATCTCTGATCTCCTTGCAACGCCTGTAGACTTTACCCCCTACTACAGCTTCCAGATTTTCTCAGACCTGTACGTCATCCATCCATGCCCTTAGAGCTTCTTGGTTTGCCTGCAGCTGTCCACGTGGAAGAGTCCTATTGGAGAGTGCCCAATTCTATTAGCTGCGTAGAATCAGTTTCCTCGTTTACCCGAGCTTCACTAACCACTTCAGCAGCAGCAGCAGCAGCACAGCCAACACCAGTTGCACCTGCTCCGACCGATGCTTCCCCACCTGCTGTCTCACACTCTGCTGCCTCCTGTAAGTCAAACTCCAGTTTCCTCACAAGCCCTCGCTGCTCCTCCTGCTTCATCCTCACCATTCCTCTCTTCAACCTCACCTCACCTCCTGCTCCTCCCCCTCTTCCCTTCCCCCCATCCCTCCCTTCGTTCCCTAACAGCCGCCTTTCCTCACCCTCCCCCCCCATCCCTCCCATTTCTGCTTCAACTAACCCAACCCTTCCCTCCTTCCCTCCCGCCTCCTCAACCCCTTCTCCCCCTCCCTCCCCCTCCCCCTCCCCCTCTTCCTCCTCCTCGTCCCCATCCAGCTCCAACTGTTCAACCACCTCACTCTCCGGGCCCCCTTCCGGAAGCAACCCCAGAGCCAGCAGCGGCAGCAGCCGCGCACACATCCTCACAACCACAGCCATCCAGAGGTTTCCATAGCTATCCCTCCGCACCCCCACCGCGTGCAGCAGCGCCGCACCCCACCACTCGGAACAAGTAATCCCAAAGTTGCTTGTTGCCATGTAGAAAGCAAAGAGGGTTGCCTCGATCCCCGAGGGGCACATGCGGGCCGCTAGCACGAGGATCGGCATGATTTGGATGCGGCCCATGGCTAGCGAGAAGGCCTGGTCGCCGATCACAAACGCGTGGTCCGGGATGCCGAGCCTGAGGTTCGTGCGCGTGACGAGGATGAGGTCGAGAAAGCAGGTGGCGAAGAGGAGGAACTGGGGGAGGAAGGGGAAGGAGAGGAGGAGGGGGAGGGGGAGTGGGGGAGAGGATGGGACGAATTTAGGCGGCTTGAGTCGAATTTCTCAAGAGTTGACCAGGATGAGGTCGAGGAAGCAGGTGGCAAAGAGGAGGAACTGGGAGGGCGTGAGGGGGGGGGGGGGGGAGGTGTGTGAAGGGGAGAGCATGGGCTAAGCAGTCGTGCTGGACGACTGCACAAGACTTGTGAGAGATTTGTGAGTTTTGAGAAACCTGTGCTGGACGAGTGAGAGATTCCTCAAAACGCACACACTCGTCCAGCACTCACTCACTCACTCTCTCACACGCACCTGTGTGCAGAAGAGTATAGAGCGGTACGTGAAGCGGCGCAGTCAGAGGTTATAGGCAGTGACGCCCAGCAGCATGCCCACCTGCCCCACCGCCCCCGTAAACACTGGCAGGCAAAAAGGAAGGCAGGCAGGCACGCGCACACTCACTCACTCACTCACTCACTCATGCACTCACTCACACGCACCTGTGTGCAGAAGAGTATAGAGCGGTACGTGAAGCGGCGCAGCCAGAGGTTATAGGCAGTGACCCCCAGCAGCATGCCCACCTGCCCCACCGCGCCCACCATGCCCATAAACACCTCACTGAACCCCGGGCCCTGCTTCTCGTCCGTGAGCCAGAAGAACATTCCCGAGGTGATGTTTGTTTGGGCCTACCCCGCCAGATGTGTGATGTGTGGATGGATGGACAGGGAAGGGGGACGGCAGAGAGGCAGGGGGAAAGGTGAGTGTCATGGAATGTGTGTGCTGGTGGTGGGAGTTCTTGCTTATGGGGTGTGTGTGCGCTGGTGCTCGTCCGTGAGCCAGACGGACATTCCCGCGGTGATGTTTGGGACTACCCCTCCCATACAGCACGGCACGGCATGGCACGGCACGGCACGGCACGGCACGGCACACAACCACATGGCACAAGCCAACACCACCCAGCACCAACCAGCACCACCACCACCCAGCACCAGTTATCACCACAGCGCACAGCACCCCTCACCTGCACGATAAATATGAACAGCGCCGCCCGCGCAATCTTCCGGTGCCGAATCGTGCCAATGAAGCGGCGCCACGTCCTCTTCAACATCTTCACATCCCCCCTCCTCTTGCCCTCGGGCAGGCGCGTTTCCGGGAGCAGGAGCGCAGCCACGATGAGGGAGAAAGGCGCGAGGGAGATGAGAAAGAATGTGCCGCAGGGGCCGAGGTGTTCAATGAGAGAGCCGCTGATGGTGTATGTGAGGAGCGAGGCCAGGGCGAGACAGGCTGCTGGGAGGGTCTGTTGTGGGGGAGGGGGGGAAGAGAAAGGGAGATGAGAAAGAATGTGCCGCAGGGACCGAGGTGTTCAATGAGAGAGCCGCTGATGGTATACGTGAGGAGCGAGGCTAGGGCGAGACAGGCTGCTGGGAGGGTCTGGTGGGTGGGGTGGGGGAGGAATGGGTGTGGAGGGGGTTGAAGAGGACAGTGGGCAGGGGAGAGGAGAATGAGAGAGAGGGGACAGGAGATTGGGAGAGAAGGAGGAGGGAAGGGGTGGGGAGGGGGGGGAAAGGAGAGGGGAGAGGAGAGGGAAGGCAGCCCCCAAGAGAGGGAGAGAGGGGATGGGAGAAGGCAGAGACAGAGGCAGAGGCAGAGGCAGAGGCAGAGGCAGAAGAGAGGTGCTGACAACTCCCCCCTCCCGTGCTCCCCTCCCCTCCCCCTCACCCGACTCTGAATCACCTGCAGGTCCGCAGCATAGGTGGGGTGCAGGCGAATCTCCTGGGCCACCATGCCATCAACCACCACGTCTGGCACGGCACAGAACAGCGACTGTGTCACCAGCAGCGCCGTTGCCACTGCTGGCACGAGCGCCGGTATCCCCCCCAGCGCCCACCACGCTGCTGTGCCGATGACCCCCGACAGGGCTATGTAGGGCCACCGCTGGAAGCTGGTTGGGAGTGGGATGGAACATGGGATGGGGGGATGGAAGATGGGATGGGGGGATGGAAGACGGGGAGAGGGGATGGAAGACGGGAAGAGGGGATGGAAGACGGGGAGAGGGGATGGAAGAGGGGGAGAGGGGGTGGAAGAGGGGGAGAGGGGGTGGAAGACGGGGAGAGGGGGTGGAAGACGGGGAGAGGGGGTGGAAGACGGGGAGAGGGGGTGGAAGACGGGGAGAGGGGGTGGAAGACGGGGAGAGGGGGTGGAAGACGGGGAGAGGGGGTGGAAGACGGGGAGAGGGGATGGAAGACGGGGAGAGGGGATGGAAGACGGGGAGAGGGGATGGAAGACGGGAAGAGGGGATGGAAGACGGGGAGAGGGGATGGAAGAGGGGGAGAGGGGGTGGAAGACGGGGAGAGGGGGTGGAAGACGGGGAGAGGGGGTGGAAGACGGGGAGAGGGGATGGAAGACGGGGAGAGGGGGTGGAAGACGGGGAGAGGGGGTGGAAGACGGGGAGAGGGGATGGAAGACGGGGAGAGGGGATGGAAGACGGGGAGAGGGGATGGAAGACGGGGAGAGGGGATGGAAGACGGGGAGAGGGGATGGAAGAGGGGGAGAGGGGGTGGAAGAGGGGGAGAGGGGGTGGAAGACGGGGAGAGGGGGTGGAAGACGGGGAGAGGGGATGGAAGACGGGGAGAGGGGGTGGAAGACGGGGAGAGGGGGTGGAAGACGGGGAGAGGGGGTGGAAGACGGGGAGAGGGGGTGGAAGACGGGGAGAGTGGGTGGAAGACAGGGAGAGGGGGTGGAAGACGGGGAGAGGGGGTGGAAGACGGGGAGAGGGGGAGGAAGACGGGGAGAGGGGGTGGAAGACGGGGAGAGGGGGTGGAAGACGGGGAGAGGGGATGGAAGACGGGGAGAGGGGGTGGAAGACGGGGAGAGGGGGTGGAAGACGGGGAGAGGGGGTGGAAGACGGGGTGGGGGTGTGAGGCACGCCCCTCAGCGCCCACCACGCTGCTGCGCCACTGCTGGAAGCTGGTTGGGGGAGGTTTTGGGGAAGGACGGAGGAGAGGGGATGGGGCGGGAAGATTGCTTGATGTCAGGCGCTAGTGGGGCTGTGTTGACAGAAGCAACACATTCCTTCAAGCAGCTAAGAGTAGACAGCATTAGATATGTCACATGTGCACGGCTGAAGTAGTTTTTCCTTCAAGCAGCGTTTAAGAGATGCTCGCAGGGAGGGTCGGTACCACGAGGAAGGAAGGAAGCGGGGGAGGAAACCAGTGAGAATGAGCGGGCGGAAAGGGAGAGGGGAAGTTGGTTGGAGGGAGGAGAGAGAGAGGGGGGGGGGTTGCGGGACTGAGGTGAATGGGAGCGGCTGGAGAGAGGGAGGGAGAAAGAAAGTCCAGGCACGGAGAGGATGAGGGAGGCACGGAGAGGATGAGGGAGGCACGGAGAGGATGAGGGAGGCAGGCAGAGAGTGTGGGGGAGAGGCAGAGAGAGAGAGGGGATGGGGGAGCGGCATGCAGAGAGAGGGGATGGGGGAGCGGCATGCAGAGAGAGGGGATGGGGGAGCGGCATGCAGAGAGAGGGGGTGGGGTGGGAGAAGCGCGCTGATCATGAGGATGCGCACCCGAGGATGGGGAAGGTGTCGGTGATCATGCCGTAGAGCGGCTTCACGTCCCACGGGATCAACACGAAGCTCTGCACGCATGGCGGGCAGGAGGGGTGCGGTGTGATGGGGGTGTGGAGTGTGTGGGGTGAGTGGGGTGAGTGGGGTGAGTGGGGTGTGTGGGGTGTGTGGGGTGTGTGGGGTGTGTGGGGTGTGTGGGGTGTGTGGGGTGTGTGGGGTGTGGAGTGTGGGGTGTGCTGTGGCGACTTCACACATTAATGGCAGGTAAGGGTGCGAGGAAATTGGGAAAGGAGGGGGGGAGTGATCTTTACACCACTCAACAATCACCCATCCAACAGCTTTCAACCACGCCACGCCATGCCACGTCACACCACGTCACGCCATGTCACGCCACGTCACGCCACGTCACGCCACGGACCATGTAGAACTGAGCAGCGGCGGGTTGCAGATGCTGCACGTCCTTCCAATAGTAGCTCAGCGACAGGTCCGTGAGAGAGCTCGCATACCCCTGATTAATCCCATACGTCACCATCACAACCCCCAGCAGCGGCCACCCAAACACGCGACCTAGCTCCCGCATCCACGCCGCTATCCCCGTTATAGGGCTCGCGACCGGCGAGAGGAGTCTACTGCAGGCGCGTTTCAAGCGCGCGGATCGGCTGGTGGGAGCGTGCCGTTGTAGCGTGATGAGTGATAAATCGTCTTCCACGTCATCATCAAGTGGGAGATTTGATTCGCTATCCTGCTCCCCGTTCCCCCTTCCCCCGCCGGTTCCCCCTTCCGCTCCGCTGCTCGCCCCGCGCCCTGCTGTTCCCCGCGCGACCTCGTCCGCGGGAAGTATCTCCGCTCCCCCTCCGCCTGCCTCATCCCGATAAATATCCGCCGCTGCGGAAGAGAAAGCGGGGGGAGCGGCGGCTTTCGCGCTGGGCCCCGCCTCCGCGTCTCTGTCGGTGTAAGCGCTAGTACCGCCATTTGTGGCGGCTACCCCCGCAACAGTGGGAAAACTGGGGGGATTCTCGATTTCTAAGGCGATGGCGGAAGGGGAGATTTATTCCGCCTCCCGCACGGGACGGGGAAAACCACCGGCGCTCGGCGGAGAGAATTGGGCGGAAGGAAGGCCCGCCATTGCGGCGGAGATGGAAACGGCGACCCGTGGGAGAGGCGAGAAGAACCTTGATCGTGAAAGGGCCGGACTAAGAGAAGACGGTCTAAGAGGTACGGCATAGAAAGGAGACGGCTTGTCTGACTGTGTGTGCTTCTAAGTGAACGATTGATTGGGGTACATTATGCCGCTGCTGCCGTCATGGTATCATGCAACGTTCCTTCGCGCTGCCGCATCGTGGATGAGACCGCAAGGAATTAAATTTATAATAAGGTCCAGCAAAGTCTCCGCGTAATTAACAAAAGAACGGAAATAGTTGCGACGATTCTGGCGAATAACCAACAAATGGAGAACTCTGATGCGAAGCCGGAAACTGCGGCGATTAGGGCGTGTGACATTTTCCTATCTTGCCCGTCCGGACAAGACGTCGTCCGGACATTTGTAGGGTTACCCGTGTCGTTAACTCTCGCAGGATTTATCGTTAGTACCCATGCGACGTCGCAAACGATCGGACTTCAGATGGAACTTTTGCATAAATTGCCCTCTCAAATTGTCCGGACGCGTACCGTTCGAAAAACGGACGGACGCAACAGTAACGCGACTTCACTGGCCGACGAATTCTTCTCCGCGTGTCGCTTGGAAGTTACCTATCTCGTGATGGCGTCGTTGTCCTGGTTACAGTCTCGTCAGTATTCTAAATTTCGTAAGTGTGAAAAAGTGTCATCACCTACGTCCGGACGAGGCTCAGTCTGGACGTTGGCCTAGGACCGTCCGATATTCGGTAATCGAACCGTTCTTGGACAGTGGTCTGGACTTTTACCTCTTTTTGAAAATGTCACACGCCCTTAGAGCATGTCTCAGGCTCAGCGGTGACGGTTGTCTCATTCGACCGCTCTTGACCGCAACGCCGCCCTGTGAACAGCGATCATACGATTGAAACACGCCCGAGTGCTCAGCCCCACACCAGCCTAATGGAGTCCTTCCAAGTTTCTAACCAGCTATCGTCAAGTAAAGACACACCCTAGCATAATTTGTTTGGTTTGGATCCTTGCTGCAGCCTGCCGAAGCTGCGCAAAGCAGGGCCTGCAGCAAAACGAGGCCCTACTCTACCAAGCAATTGGCGAATTCTGCTGTCCCCTCCCTACCTGCCGAATCTCAGAATCTCCAAGCCTGGGCCGGGCCTGCGCGACACACTGAGCGAGATGATAAGGTGTTTGTCGAACCAGCGGTGGGGCTTCGGTTTAGGTTCGGCGCTAATTCGTTAGCTAAAACCAATTTGCTTCGCTAAAAGCAGTACAACTGGTCATTACATCTAAAGTTCAGAGCATGATCCACAATAAGAGCTCATAACATCCCGCGAAGGTAGCTCATATGGTAGCACGGCACTACGTTTCCAAGCTGAAGAACTTCGGAAACAGGCGATACACACAATCAGTCTAGGGAAATTTAGCTGATTTTATTGAAGCACATGACCAAACAATGGGATGTAAGACTAACATTCAAGAGGGGTAACACTAAGTAGCATCAGGCCGTCTTCCTAGGGCGGAAATATGTCCCTCGTCTCATCTGTCCAGCTTCCCAAGAACCACTCGCAATCCTGGTAGTCACTTCATGTTGAAGTAGTAGCGCCATTACCACCACCAACAATAGCTGCTGCTGCCATAGCAGAAGCACCACTGAAAATGGCGGCAAAGAATCAGTAACACCTACAGTTGCCATCAGCACCTACACCTGGAATAAATCTCTCATGGTCAGTCACCCACGTCTGCCTCCCCAAATTTCCGTGGGGCTCCAGGCAGCATTGAGCCTCAGCACATCACCAACTCAACCGTAAGGGGAACTCCCATTCATCACTCATGTGGCCGTAGGAGCAGCTTCAGCCGTAACCGTCACCTTCATTCCCGCCGCACATTTCGAGTACACTCCAGAAATGAAATACACTGGATCCGCGGTTAGTGGATCAGTCTTGCAGCCGACAACACCGTCCGACGATCGGCACATCATTTCGAAGTTTTTTACGTCGCAAGCATCGTAGTCAGCTTGAGTTGGCACCTTGTATACTTCGTCTAAGCCGTCGGGGTACTTAAAAACTGCATGTGGGGGATGTACAAGCAGGATGACAAGTGAATAATGGATCAATCTGCAACATCTTTTGAAAATGCCGAGGCGGCCATAATTCTCCAGAATCGCAAAGTTCATTGAGCCGCAAACCCGCCAATCTCACAAACTATTCTGTAACAAGTCCCTGTACTCACCAAGAGAGTCTCCGACGTATATCGTTGTAGTCGCAGCCCAGTCGGTGAAGTTAACAGCAGGGTTCCACTGGTACGTGTAACCAGGCATTAACTTTCCTACATAGACGTTCCGCGGGGTGCCGCGCTGAACCACAGAGATGTTCAGCTGCGGTCGACGGGATGGGAGATAGTGGGCGGAATGGGGATCAACACGACGTGCGTAAGGAAGGTGAGAAATAGCAACCGGAAAGCTTCGCGGCGTAAGGGGTTCGTGGTCACGATCTGGAAGACGGCAAATCAGAAAAAGAATATCCAAAACATCAACCGGGGGGTATCCAGAGCTTCACGTTCTACCGTCGGCGTTGACTTGTGTTGACCTGCATGGACTTCCATTACCCCCGGCACTGACCTTGCTATTCCATGTGCATCGCGCAATCATGCCCGACGCGAAGAACGCGAGCCCGGGCGTGTCGACTCGCACCGTGCATCCCGCCTCGCCGTCCGTGTCGCTGCAGACCTTCGTGGCTTTCCAGAACTGGCACCGCTGAAAAGCCGTGACGTCGTCAAACTTATAAACCTCGTCGGAGTAGGCGGGGTAGTTAAACACTGGTGGGAGTGACGTGAGGGAGACGACACGAGGATGTGAAGGATGAAAAGAGACGGTTAGACCGTTGACAGATCGAGAAGAGTTGATGGGGGGCAGAACAAAATAAGGCCCTTTAGAAGGGGAAGGGCTTGTCGAAAGGAGATGGAAGCACGTATAACACGATAGGAAAGCTGCTGCTGAAAAAATACTGGCACACAGCTCAACGCTCTCCTGTCTTCACTCATATCGGGCACATACCGCACACGTACCTAGCACATCTCCTGTATACACCGTGTTTTCGTCTGTTGACGCCCAATTAGCGTAGTTGACTTTGGGGTTCCACGCATAGTTAAACTTCTCGCTCGTGCTACCGACCGTGATGTAGCGCCCTCCTGTCGCCGGTGCCACGGGGGTTGCTCCCCGCGCGCCGCACGCCATGGCGACGACAAGGAAGAGGCACGTAATAAGACGCGAAAAGGGCACTAGAGACGACATCACTTGCGGCGCCAATGTCTCCGTTGACTGCTTTCTCAGCGCTGACGTGTGTCGCGAAAGAGAGGAAGGACTACCTACGGAGGCAACCCGCGGCCTCACCATGCGTTCACGTCTACGAGCTGATTTAACGTCCTTTCGAGTAGGTGTGATCGGTTCACGCGACTAAAAGCTCCTCGTGTGGTTTCTGAATTCCTTGCTGTGGACTACCCGCCGAAGGGCAACACTGAAGCGTCTGATCCTTCTGACTGGACCCTAAAGATCACTAGAGGTGACTCTCTCTGCTTCTCAAGCTATCATCAACATTATAGCGGATAAAGGAGAAGTCTGGCTGCGCGCACTTCTGCAGGAAGACAGATGCGGGGAGGAATCGCTAGGTTGTGTCACCCAAAAGCAGCATAACCGGGGAGGGATTGCCGGGTTGAGGCTCGTGAGTATGCGTGTAAGAGGACGGGTCCAAGGTCTGATTCAGAGGCAACTTTTCCGAGCCAGAGGAGCTGGTGATGCCTACTTGCTCGGGAGAGTTTGTGATTGGCCAGTTATGGGCGCCTGTCGATGATTGCAATAGGTGGTCGCAAGTTTCCGTCAAGCCACTAGCGGCTTTGGCAGTGGTACGGAACTCACAAGCCAATGTTTCCGTGTTTGTCGGTAAGGGGCGGCTGCTCTCATTTTGCGCTTTAGGACCCGAGTCGAAACTCTGAGAGCAGCGTAGGTCGCTTGTCCGTGGATGAAGTGATGGCCGGGTTTTTGGCGTAGTGCAATGTTTGCTGCAGGCAAGCGCGTGGAGGAGGGTTCAACTTGACGGCGGATTGACATCTGCAAGTTCATCCATCACCACGTCGTCGGTTGATAGGGCATGCCCACAATCTTCAATGTTTCTCCGCCGAACCGCAATGCACCAATGTCGGGAGGACTCGCTCCGTTCGTGGGACCCAGGTTGTGTGGCACCTCGGAAGAACAGCAGCAGCCCGAACTTTGCGGGGCACGCGGTGCGGTTGCTAGTTTTTGTGAAACACCGCATCGGGAACGTGCGCGCTGATTTGTGCTGGCGGAAATGAGACGCGGAACACCAGCTGTACATGCTACTGTCGCACAAGGTTGGGGAAGGTGTTTGTTGCTTCCGTGCGATTGTGTCGGGTTTTGTCTATTTCCAGAATGGTTGTGTGAGTTTCTGGATACTTCAGTTCTGTGGGGTGGTAAACTTTTGACACCACTCAAAGGTACCAATATATAGACTCGATTCGATAAACAGACATGAAGCGCCTATCTTCATTGTATAGGTCCTTATCATATAGATCATTCTACACCACACAGCATTGAATGAACTGTAATATATATGCTACCGCTGATGAAACCGGTAACATTACATGTTTTTATTTTATTGTATATTACTCCTAAAAAATAAACCAGAAACTATGACGGAGAAATACGTATTAACTATTTGTCATGTTAATTGAAGGGTGAATAAATGTTAAATATATATGACCTGCTACATGAATGAGGAAGGTAGATAGATCTTTGTCTCCTTGGTGGACTCCATCACGCAATAACGAGTACGTAACTTGTACTGTGGCCTTGCCCCAAGCGCGTGGCAAGAGGAGGGAAGGCCAGCTCGGCTGATGGCTCGGACCAAAACTTCAAGCAGTAGTCACACACATCAACCAATCGTACACCTTGCCAAACTGATTCTGGCGCCACTTATCCTGCACACCCTGCCAGCAAGCGCTGGCAGATAACAGACACGAGCTTGCAGAGCGCGCGAAGACAGAACCGAAAGACGACAGAGCCCGCGAAATGCGAAAATCCTGCTTTTTCGCGAATAGACCAAGGAGTACAGAGAACAGCCCCCCGCGGCGCGCGTCGAATTTCAAATCAGAGGTAGATTGATTGCAATAAGGAGTACACTCACATCACCGTTTCCGATCTCTCCCCACCCATCGACTTTCAAGGTAATGAAAGTCCCTTGGTGTGATTCTCCGTCCCCTGCTTTGGCCTGCGTTCGGTCCGCCACTGTCGCCAATCCCCTGCTACTAGCGAGCCTCTCATCTCAACTTTTGTCAGAAAATGCCTAGCCCTCCTCAACGCACCGCGTTTATGGCGGCTGTTTCTGCTGGATGTTTGAATTTCGCATGTCCTCCCAACCCATCCATCACTCGTGAAGCCATACAGCTCCCGTGTGCCTGCTGAATCTCCAGTCTCGTTCCGCGCCTTTCGTTGCGACCCCAGACCGTTGCCTCCCTCGCACATCAAACTCTTTCGTGATGCCTTTCCGGAAAGGCAGCTGGGAAACGATTTTTTCGAGCTGATTTTCTATTCCTGCATTGGCTGGCAAAGCAGCAAGCCCTAGACCGAGAGCCGTGGGCAAACCTCTTGCCTTGAGCGTCACAAGGAGACTAGTTAGAACGGCGAAGAACCATCGCGTGTTAAGAGTCTCCAGATAACAGTTTCGTCCATTGCCAAATACCTCTCGCCTGCTGCCCACAGCAACAACAAGGCACCGCCACTTCCCCACGTTGACTCGCTATCTTGGCGAACTTCGAGGTCTCTGTAACAGTCCGTAGCATTCGTTCGTAGATAGTGTCGCATCGCTTCGTAAACATGACGCTTCGGAGCTGGACAACCATGCGCCTCCACCTCCCACCGCACCGCCTACTCTTCCTTGTCCTCCTAGTCTCCGCCCTGGCGCACCACGCGCGCGTGGCGCAAGGGCGGCTCGTCGTGGTGGGTGTACGCGATACAGGCGGGTTCCAGCACCCGTGGAACAGCGCAGTGGACTACCCGCAGTGGGAGAAGAATACTGTGCTCGTTATCGGAGACTCTGTTGGTGAGTACGACTGGCAACGATGCAACAGGTGTGGTATTACTCGCGCGACTGGGCAGCGTTAGAAAGGGAGAAGCTTAACACCCAAGGAAGAACTTGGAACATGATGCGAGCGCGTCAGAAAGCTGTACGAGTCCCTTTGCGTCAATGCAGCGCAAGCGCCGCAGCTGCCGTCTGACCCGGCGGCGATCGCGTTCTGAAACGTCTCAAAGGGTGTCAATGCAACGCAAGCGCAGCTGCCGTATGACCCGGCGGCGATCGCTCATTCTGATTATCACCTGAAACGGGCGAATAAGAAGCACACGGCGGTTCCGAAACACCATGCGTGATTGCTGGTCTTATCCGTTGATGGGATTTCCCCTGCAAATATCTGTTTTCGACCCGAGAAACTCGATCCGTTTGTGCGAGAACCGAATATTTGAAACGAGAATGGAGATTCCCACTTGGGACCCGAACTGCCACAACCCACTTGCGCTTACCGCGAGTTTCCTCCCCCGCCCTCCACCCTTTCCGCCAGTCTTCGAGTTTCCCCCTGAAGACGCCGTTTTCTCCTTCCCCTCGCAAGAGGCCTTCTCTGCGTGCGCCTACGCGGACGCCGCGCTCATGTGCTCGGGCGCGCAGGGCGGCGGGCGGCAGTGCACGGCGGCGGTGGCGGAGACTCCGCAATACTTCGCGTCTACTCCGCGGAACTGCCGTCTGGGGCAGAAGGTGGGTGCTTGATCCTGTGCTCCGCATGTGCTCCGCGTGTTCTCCGCGCGTGATCCGCGTGTGCTCCGCGCGTGCTCCACCTATGCTCCTGTGTGTTCGGCTGTGTATCGTGCAACGAATGGGTCATATGAAGCAGTGCTGGTTATGACGGCGGTGTCGCATCCTCTCCTTCAGCCCGGTCCCCCCAACGCCCGTTCCCCTTTCCCCACCTCCGCCAATCCAGGTCACCGTTCAGGGCCGCCCCCCCCGCCAGGCGCGCTTGCTCCGCCGCGTTCTCGACGAGGCCCCCCCGCCCGTCCCCGCGCTCCCCACGGGCTCCCCCGCGGGTCTCGCCACCGGCGGAAGCAGCGGAGACGGCATTCCGCCCGCGCTTACCGTGACGAGCCCCAGCGTGATCGTGACCGTTGGATACGCGAAGGGCGTGTACTCGTATCCGTGGAATCCGTCCGTCCAATGGAGCGCGTGGGCTGCCGGCACGAAAATTTACGCGGGCGACGTACTGTGTGAGTCGCAGGACGCGAGAGTGAGACAGTCCTAGTCGCGCGATTCAGTCCTAGTCGCGCGATTCAGTCCTAGTCGCGCGATTCAGTCCTAGTCGCGCGATTCAGTCCTAGTCGCGCGATTCATTCCTAGTCGCGCGATTCATTCCTAGTCGCGCGATTCATTCCTAGTCCTCAGTTGAAGCCAAGCACTGATACACTCGTGCACTCATGTTCGAGGCACTTGTGAATCTGTGAGGGGTACGACAATGAACTCGCTTTTGCCACCCGTAAAATGAGGAGGAGGCAGAGTGCGCCCCTCCTGTCCTCTCTCGTCAATCCTCGTGTGACTTCTCACCCACCGATCCCCGATCCTTCAATAATCTCCCCCCAATCTTCCCCAATCTCCCCCCATCTCCCCCCATCTCCCCCGATCTTCCCCCTTTCCACCTGCGCGCCAGCCTTCAAGTACCCCATGTACGCGGAGGAGGTGGTGCGCTTCCCGTCGTTCGCGGACTACCGCGCGTGCAACTACACGGCCGCGACCGTCGTGTGCTACGACGTGTGGGGGGCCGGCAGCGCCGGATGCACCGTCAAGGTCGGCAACACCACCGCCTTCTACGGCTCGGGGCTCTACGGTCACTGCTACAACGGCCAGAAGGTGCGACGCGGTGCCGCGCGGTGTGGAGTGGTTTGGGTTTTGAGTCGCTTCAGGGTGGGTGGGTTGGTGGATCTCGCGGCCCCCCACCTGTCCGTCTGAAGATTGCTCGCCTTTCACCACTTGCAAAAGAGCTGGGCGTCTTCCCCTTTGACCACCGCAACTGTGGGCGTCTCCCCCTTTGACCACCGCAACTGTGGGCGTCTCCCCCTTTGACCACCGCAACTGTGGGCGTCTCCCCCTTTGACCACCGCAACTGTGGGCGTCTCCCCCTTTGACCACCGCAACTGTGGGCGTCTCCCCCTTTGACCACCTTCCCTCTTCCAACAAACCCCCAACGATTTCCTCTCTCTGACATTCCCCACCTTGATCCCGCCAACAGTTCGTGCTGCAGCCCATTCTGACCCGCGTGATGGCGCGCGCGGTGACGGTGGGCGGGCCCACGCCGTCGTTCCTGTGGCCGTGGAACCCCGAGGTGGATTTGGCGGACTGGAGCAAGAACAACCCCGTCTACAAGGGCGACACGCTCGGTGCGCTCTCTCGCTCTTTCTCTTTTGCTGTTGCTCTCTCTCTCTCTCTCTCTCTCTCTCTCTCTCTCTCTCTCTCTCTCTCTCTCTCTCTCTCTCTCTCTCTCTCTCTCTCTCTCTCTTGCTCTCTTGCTCTCTTGCTCTCGCTCTCTCTCACACACACACGCACAGCTTTTGCTGTTGCTTCCACGGAAACACATCCCAACTCCATTATGCTGAAAATATGCGAGTTGTACTTGATTTTCTGTGACTATGTTTGACTCTGTCTCTTCCATACTCCCGACCCGTGTTATGCAGTGTTCAAATACGCCAAGTACTCCGATGACGTGTACGTGGTCCCCACACTAACGGACTACACCAACTGCGACTATCGCAACTTCGTTTCGTACTGCAACGGCACGGACGGCACGGGGAACGGGTGCGAGAGCGACCCTGTTACAAGCACCACCTACTTTATCTCGGGCTTCTACAGTCACTGCATGAGCGGCCAACGGGTGAGTGGCGAAACAGGTTTATGATATCCTCTGTTCGTGTCAAGGCTAGCTATCTGATCCCGAGCTCGTGACTCACTGCCATGTCGTGGCCGTGTTTCCCACTTGAATTTTCATCCTCCCTGCACTGTCAGTCCCTTTCATTGCCCTGATAAATTCTTCATCAACCTCTGTACTGTGTCCATTTGATGTGTACAGGTGGCTGTGACTCCACTTGCTCCACCTCCGTTGTAATGGCCAAGTCTTGTATGAGACCATGACATGCTTGAGTTAGCGAAACTGCTTGTCTGTACTAGCATGCTATTGCCCTCTAAACCAAACAGTGACAGCCTTTGGCTGTCGTAGTTGCTGCTTTAGGCTGCTAGGGCTAATTGGATAGTGTATGCTTCTAACAAAGACTGCCTATTATGTGTGCCATGCGTGAAAGTAGGCATGTGTAAGAAAGGACAGAATGCTACGTACTATTAGCACCACTTATTTGTGGCAAATACTACCAATTGTTTGAGTAAGGCCACACGATTCTGAGTTGGCGGCTCGGTGGTAATTTCCATAAGTCGCGCATGATGCGTAGACTATCAAAGACTCCTTGCCATATCAGGTCCTACAAGGATGATCGACAATGCAGTGCATGGTTAATAAAGGTTGTGCGACAGTGTTAGGATCGTCGTAGTTTATGAATGTGTGTTTTCATCATGCCTGAGTATGCCTGATTTGTTTTCATCATTTCATTTATAAACAATGATTTCATTACCCGTATCTTGAATTGTTCCATGATATTCTTGCATCACTTTGCCAGGAAATGTTGGACTAACTGGTTCAGTTCAGAGGTGTAGTGTTATCATATGTTGGTTTACTTGATGAGTCTGATTTTCGCGGGCGCCTCGCGCTGGTTTCGGGAGTCTGTCTGCACAGTGCCGCCGACCCCCTCTGACGAGCGAGCGCGCCTCGAGGACCTGGAACAGTGCTCGACACCGAATTATTTTCGAGGATGTACTCGTGTGAAACCGGTCCGAAGCCTCTAGCGGGATCGAGCGGCCAATATTGTTTACGATGTTCAGCTCTCTTTGCTGACTTCTGCAGATGTGACACAAGTGCGACGAGAAAATGTTATGTGTGAGGCCGATAAGGCTTGAGCCAAATCTTTTTGTGGCTGTACTTTCCTCCCCCCCTTTTGCCTTTCCTCCCCAACTCTTCCCTCGCTCCTCCCTCCCGCCCTCCCTCCCTCCCTCCCTCCTCCCCCATCTGCCTGCCAACTCCCAGCGATTTCCACTTCCCACCACTTTTGAGCGTGTGCGATTTTTGCGGAGCAGCAGCAGCAGCAGCAACAAGAGCATCTGACACGGCCATATCAGGTTCTCCCAAAAGCAGCTCATTCTGTATGAGTCGAGAGCTTGACTTGCGTCGCTGCTCGCAACACCAGTAGAAAGCAAACCGAAGCTACGGCGTGCGTCGCTCCCGCAAAGATAAGGTCTAACGCTGCCCCTCGATTAATAAATTAACCGAATTTGCCTTGTATCAAAGCTCAGCGGCAGCACCTACTACCTTCCAATATCCGCCACCTGCATTGGCGATACGGAACAGTCTCCTTGCCCATAGATAGAGCCAACGAACCTTTTCGGTAATGCCAATGCAGGCCCCCTCCACAGACCTTCCATATGACACCCTCGAAAAGGCCGCGGCAATCACGACGGGAGCGACGCCAAAAATCCCCGCGGGGATGGCGGTGCAGGGAAGCCCACACCTCAAAGCCCGCACGACGCTTTTCTTCGTGATCTCCCTCGTGGCCTCAGCATTGGCTCTCCTCGCGCCAGTCTTCTATCTATCTGCCGTCTCGTCCGTCGTGCCCATTAGCCCGAGATTCATTTTTTCATGGCCTCCCCGCTCCGCCTTCGCTGCCGCCGGGGACGCGGATTCTCCGGCTTTTTCGGCGGGCGGCACCGCGGAGGGTTTCGTAGGCGGCGGCCAAGCTGCGGACGGGCGGGCGGAGTTTCGAACCATGGTGGTGGGAAAAGGTACGCGTCGTAAGATGCTCGCGCGCCTCGCGTTGCTCTAGTGGTTCGCCAGGGTTAAAACCCGGGGGCCCCCGGGTTTTAAAGCTTACACCTCACTTTGATTCCCCGGTCGTCGTCGATTCGCGCACTGGGAAATTCTCGATAAAGGCACAGCTCGTTTTGAAAGCACTGTTCGTGTGAATCGTGCCGCGCGTTCCAAGAAACTCAAATCGTTTTGGTCATCGCTTACCCGGCACATGCTACTCCACTCTTTTCCTCCCACTTTTCCGCCCCCCTCCTTATTGTTCCCCCTTCCCTTGCCTCCCCGCCTCTCCCATACCTTCGCTTGCCTCCCCTCCCTGCGCCGCCGCTCCGCCAACTCCGCTCGTTCCGGTCGGCGGCGCGCCGTCACTCCCCTTTAGCTCCGCCAGGCCAGACGATAGTGGTGGTTAGCAGCCGGAAGGACGATAGCGAGGCATCTAATATCGGAGATAGCGCCGTGGGGAGTGTAAGGCGTGGCAAGGGGCCTTTCGAGGAAGGCTCGCTGGCGGCAGGCGAATACGAAGGGGGAGTTGGCGGGGGAGGAGGAGACACAGGGAGCATTGCTAAAGGGGCGGGCGAAACAAGAGCGGCTGCAGATGCGAGAGTTGAAACAGCCGCAGCAGCAGAAGCAGGGGAAGGGACATCAGGAGGGGATACGCTGGTGGGTGTGCAGGGTAAAGTAAGCTCGGAGCCTGAGGGGGATACCGGAGTTAGTCTTCCTACCACGAAACCTCTGTCAACGGAGCGCACTGACCTACCTCCCCTCCTTAACATCACGGACCGCATCCCCGGCTCTCGGCTAATCACAAAGCGCCAGGTGGACGCGTTCCGCGCGCGGTGGCGGTGCATCAGCGAGTCGGGACGCTGGGAGATGGACGAGACGCCTCGCCCCCTCCCCTGGGCTCTTCCGAATTACACGTTCGGGGGCTGTGATGTGGTTTTCACCAGGCGCCGCAAAACGCATCTTGCAGGTGTGCTTGCCGATGCCGTGGCTCTGGATCCGAACATGCAGGATCGGTGGGTGGTTCGGGGATCGCTGATGTATGATTGGAGGGTGGATGAGGAGCGGTGCGGTGGAGGGTTAAGGGAGTTTGAGAGTGGGAGGATGTGCGAGGTGGTGGGAGGCGGAGGGAAGAACATTGCGTTTATAGGCGACTCGTTAACTGGGCAGATGCACACCTCGTTCTTCAATCACATGCGCATGGCTCAGCGGAATCCCTCAGACAGCTATACCAACGGCGACAGCAGCAGCACTAGCAGCGTTAGCAGGGTGGAGGGAAGAACGGCAGTGGAGCAGCGGCCATATGACCAGCTGTGCTGTGGAGGAGTGCTGCAGCAGAACCCAACCCTGGGCGAGTGGCAGGTGTGCGAAGGAGCAGCATTCTGCTCGGCTAGTCAGGACGAGCGGCAGGAGCAGGAAGAGGCAAGGGTGGCAGCAGTTGGCGGGAGGGCTGAAGGTTCTGGTTCATTCATTGCTGATTTTATTCGGAATGATTTTCTAACAGTGGTGGATCATCCCCGGTGGAACCTGGACACGTTTGCGGTGGAGCTGCCTTTCCTGGGTTACATGAGTGGTAACCGCTGCGATGTTATGAGACCAGAGAGCGAGATGGATGGGACAGTGAATCGGAGCAAGAAGAGGAACAGACGGCAGATGAGAGAGAAGCGGAAGGGGAAGAAGGGGGTGCATGGAGGGGGGGCAGACTTGGTGGGGTCTGGCCAGAGATCTGCGGAGGACGCCAAACCAGCAGCTAATCTGACGACGACGCTTCCTTCAGCGGCAGCACTGTACAAAAAGTATGACATCCTTGTGATGAACCGTGGGGCTCACTATGCTGGGGATGACGTGTTCGTCCCCGAGCTTCGTGAGACGATCCTTGCGCTGCGCACGCATTTCCCGGACGCTCTTATTGTGTACCGCAACACCCCTCCCGGACATGCCAACTGCACGCAGTATTGGGAGCCGATTTCCAAGCGGCAAACACCGGAGACGTTACCTTACAATTGGGGTGATTTTGTAAGGCAGAATGAAATGGCTCGTGAGATTGTGGAGGCAGCCGGTGCAGTGTATCTGGACGTGGACACGATGACGTCTCTCAGGGCGGATGGGCATGTGGGAAAGAACAGGCGGTACAAGGTAGATTGCCTGCATTACTGCCTGCCTGGCCCCATAGATCTCTGGACCAAGATGCTCTACAATGTGCTTTTAGAGCTGCTCTAGTTCAGGTTTAGTTCCTTGATAGGAAAGTTCTAATGAATTGGTTAGGAAAAACATTGCTTTGTAAATCTGTACCCATTTATAGTACAGTTTCGCTAGTTGAGTGTAGCGCGTCTGTGGTGGGGTCGCACTCCTCGGGCTTCGCTCTGCCTGGCACGTGTCCTCGTTAAGATTGTCGTTCATTGGTCCGCACCAGCCTGCACGGGCTCCACGATGCCAAGACAAACTGGAATTTCGAGGCGCGGCCCGATGTGGCGTCTCTACGGATCAGACCAACATGAACGAATGGCGGTCTGATGGGAGCAGCATTCACTCAGCACAGCAGCAACGAGTACTTCGGAGCAGGCAAATCGTTTCGCTGCGCGCTCCTGCTCCGGAGATTCACACAGCCTTACGTGCGGTAGAGTCACGGAGTCGACTTCGGTTGGTACGGTTCCAGTGCGCCTCCTGCGCCTCTACTCTCCGCGCGGTTTTTCTCCGCTCCGCAGGAGCAGGGAGTCGGGGAGACCTTGCTTGAAGGCTGCACGTGTAGTGTGTTCCACGTATTGTCATTGGTGGAGATTTGGAGACTCAAGTAGCTTGAAGATCGAGTCAGCCCGCGCTTTGGTAGTAGTAGTTCCTCTGTAGTAGCGTTGGTGGTAGCCGCGTCACTTCGTATACATTATCATCCCTGTCACTGTGTGAACAGTGTTAGTAACACGTCAGCGTTACCCAGCCATCACATCACACCATGTCCACGCTCCTGTCCCTGCCTGGACTCATCAACCTAGGTCTCTCGCTCCTCATCCCGCCGCTCGGTCTCCTTCTGCTCATCCCCCTCGCCGTTGTGCTGAACGTGTACCACTGGGCGACGCTCGCCACGCGCTGGCTGCTGCTGCGCGCGCCCTCGCCCGCGCTCTCCTGGCGCTACTCGTCCCGCGACAAAGTTGTTGTCATCACTGGGGCGTCGTCAGGCATCGGCGAGGTGAGCGGTGCTGCACGGTGGAGCGCGGTGGAGTCATCCCTCCTACTGGAATTGCCCCCACACCTGAATGTTCCCATCAGTAAGCGCGCCCGCCGTCGCCCGCTCTCTCCTGGCGCTACTCCACGCGCAACAAGGTTGTCATCATCACTGGGGCTTCGTCAGGCATCAGCGACGTGAGCGGTGGAGGGCTGTGGAGCGCGGTGGATTGCTGGAGCGATGGAGTCATCTCATCCTTCTCTCTGATTCTTCCCTCCTGAGTACGCGCGCAAGGGTGTGGCCCGTGTTCCACTAATCCCCTCCTTTCCCCACTCTCCCTCTCTTCCCCCCCACCCCCCTACTAACTCCCCCTCCCCCATTCCCCCTCCCCCCCCCACACCCCCAAAACAGTACACGGCGCGTGAGTAAGTGCGCAAGGGCGCTGCTCTTCACTACTCCCCTCCTCTCCCCTCTTCCCCTCCCCATCCCCACTTCCCCCGCACAACCCCCCCCCCCTCCCCCCCACCAATCCCCCCAACAGTACATGGCGTATGAGTACGCACGCAAGGGCGCGGCTCTTGCGTCACTTCTCCCCTCCTCTCCCCCCCAATCCCCCCACTACGCCCCTCCCCCCAATAGTACATGGCGCGGGAGTATGCGCGCAAGGGAGCGGCGCTGGTGCTGGCGGCGCGCAGGGAGAACCGCCTGCGCGCCGTCGCCGAGGAGTGCCTGCGCCTGGGCGCCGCTGACGTGGCGGTGCAGCGCGCTGACGTGTCCACGGAGGAAGGGTGCCACGCGGTGGTCAACGCTGCAGTGGAGCACTATGGGCGGAGTGAGTGACACACGGTTGGTGTGGGGGGAGGTGGGGACGGAGGGAGGGAGGGAGGGACTGGGGGCGGCGGTGGGGGTCGCTGTGCGGTTTCACGATTTGGTGATCAACGCTGCTGTGGAGCACCACGGGCAGAGGCTGTTACACACTGGGGGAGGTGAGGAAAGGGGGGAGGAGACTGGGGAAGGGGAGGGATGAGGGGAAGAGGGAGAGGGGGAATGGGGAAGGGTGGGAAGGGGTTACTGGCCTCTACCATCTCTGCCGCCTACCTCCTCTTTTGTCTTTCCTCTCCATTATCTTTCAATCTCTGATCTCTCTCTGCCCTTCTGTCCGTTTCCCCTCCGCTCCCCTCCTTCCCCCTCAGCTCATCCCCCTTTCTCTCCCTTCCCCCCCTCCCACCCTCCCTCATTCCCTCGCTTCCCCCGCCTCTCATCATCCTCCCCCCCTCCTCCCCCGCTCTTCCAGTCAACGTGCTGGTGTGCAATGCAGGAACGGCACACCCGGGCCTGTTTGAAGACGCCCAGGACCCCACCACCCTCCGAAGCAGCATGGTACCCGGGGCGGGCGCGAGGGTGGGTGGGTGCATGCATGGGTGCCTGGGTGGTTGGTGCATGGGTGCATCGGTGCATGGGTTTATGGGTGTATGAGTGCGTGGGTCATAGAGGGATGAACAGTGGACAATTGGGTGGGAACATTGGGAACGGTGCATGTATGGAATCACATGATTTGCTCTTAAATGCCCTCGCCGAAAGGCACCTCCATCTTCAATTCCCGCCATCGTCCTCCCTCTCTCCCCTCCCCATGGCCTCCAGGAGATTGACTTCTGGGGCAATGTATGGCCAAGTGTTTTCCAACAACCTTAGCCATGCCGTGACCCGCCCACAAAAGATTTGAGAACCTTCAATCGCAAACCCTCCCCTCCCCCTCTTCCCTCCCCACTTTCCCCCCCCCACCCCTTTCCCCCCTCCCCGTGCCTGCCAGGACATAGATTTCTGGGGCAACGTGTGGCCGACGGTGTTTGCGATGCCGTACCTGCGCAGGAGCCACGGGCAGGTGGTGGTCACGGCGTCAGTGGCGGCATACCTCACGTACCCGCGCCAGTCCATGTACAATGTATGGTGCTACCTGTGCAGTGCCGCATGGCTCGAGTGACTCATATGAATGATGAATCACATACCTCACCTCACGTACCCACGCGAATCCATGTACAATGTATGTTGCTGCCTCTGCACTGTCACGTGCCTCATGTGCTTCATGTGCCTCGCATGCCTCGCATACCCGCGCCAGTCCATGTGCAATGCATGCCGCTGCCTGCTCGAGACTACATGCATTCTGCGTGCACTGCCAATTGCAGATAGATACAATGTGGGGTGGGCGTGAGATGGTGGGATGTGGTGGTAAGATGTGCAATGCCCACAGGCAAATGGACGGACGCCCGTGGTGCCGCTGATGTTGACACCGCTGGTGCCGTCGCTGCTAAGATGCATGCTCTAATCCACGCTGCCTACCTGCCTTGTGAGGCGCCTCAAAACACGCTGCCTACCTGCCTGCAGGTGGCCAAGGCGGCCAAAGTGCAGTTCTAGCTAGCTGCACCATCTCTCACCACAGCCCCAGCTGGCGACCAGCTCACCACACCCCCCTCTCTTTCCTGTTATCACCCCCTCCCCCTCCTCCCCCTCCTCCCCCTCGCATTGCCAGGCGGCCAAGGCGGCCATAGTGCAGTGCTACGCCCCGCTGCGTGCATCCCTTGTCTCTCGATCAACCACACCTCCCTCCCTCTCTACTGCTGCACCCCCCATCCCTCCTTCCCACCTGCCTGCAGGCGGCCAAGGCGGCCATAGTGCAATTCTACGCCACGCTGCGTGCAGAGGTGCATCCTGAGGAAATGGCTATTACCATCGCCATGCCTGGCTTCGTGCACTCCGAACTCACCTCCCGCGCCGACGCCTCTGTGAGTGAGCTCTCCACCCACGCGCTGACGTGGCGGCCTGTGAGAGGAACTGAGGGATGTTCATCACTTTTGCCCACACACAGCGTACACTACACTCACGCACGCCCCTTACTCGCTCATGCTCACGCCCTCAGCCTTTGTGCTTTCTCATAACCCTCCCTTGCCCGCGTTGCTCTTTCTCCTTCTCCGTCCATCCGCACCCGCCACTCATACCTAATCAGTAGATCCCCTTGTACGGCCGCACACACTGCCTAAAATCTCCCCATTCCTCGCACCTCGTAATATCACACACGACCTAGTAATGAATTCCGTTAACTCACCTACAAAAAACGCCTATCCCCCTTTCCTTGTTGCCTCCTTTCCCCCGTCCCCACTCTCTCCCTTTTCAACCCGTGCCCGTAATTCCCGCCGTTTCCCCATGAAAGACGCACATTCGCTGGTGGTGGCCCATGCTATCCACTCCCAAGGTGACTTCTGAGTAAACTAAAAATACATCCTTGTTTCCCGCCCTTACCTCCCCAACCCCAATGGCAGACGCACATTCCCTGGTGGTGGCCCATGCTATCCACGCCGGAGGCCGCGCGCATCATCGTGCGCGCCGCGGAGCTGCGTCAGCGCCACGTCATCGTGCCCTTCTGGTACAGCGCATGGCTGCTGTACCGACTGTTCGCCGCGCAGGTCATGGACTGGTCGCAGCGCGTCATGCTGCTAGGGCGCGCGCCGTCGCGGTTCGTGAAGGGCGCGCTGGCGGCGGCGGTGGGGGAAGAGGGGGCGGAGTGGCTGTTCCGCAGTGTGGCGGCGACGCCCGCCAAGGGGAAGGGCAAGGTGGAATGACGGAAGTGGAGGACAACGGTGGAGTTGTCGTTTGTCTCGAGTAAATCTGATTGTGTACAGTGTATAAGGTGCTAATAGTGTATGGAAGTTTCATAACATAATACATCCTTCTGTACCGTATTATACACGTTTTACTGTTTTATCGATATGTGTGTTTGTTGTTGCCGTACACGCCGCAAGCAACTTTACAATCAATGCTATGTCCTCATGTAAAAATTCCTCAACTGAGGCCCTTGTAAGTTTAGACAATACTACATTGTTAGTCGATGGAGAAATTAAATAGAAAAGGAAACAAACATCTACACCCAAGGAAGCATGCTCATGAAAACACTGTCCCATCCCATCCCATTCCAACATTCCATTCTAGAATGCCGCTGTTCACTTGCACTAAGACTATTCAACCTTGTAATAATGAACCAAGTTTTGTGTTTTCCCATTGTGTCAACCTTGGCGGCCTCAAGAAACTGGTGTGTGACGTGTCACTCATCCTTGGTCAGAAAGAGGTACGAAACCTGCATGCAAGACATGGACACATGCATGCGGCATGGTGGGCATGGTGGGCATGATGGCCATGGGGCATGGGGCATTAGGCATGGGTCATGGGTCATGGGGCACGGGGCATCGGGCAAGGGAGTGGGGCATGGATGACAGGGCATGAGCCATGGTGTTAACGGCATGGAGAAGTGGGCACACACGGCATGGGACACAGTCACACAGGACATGGGAGCATACATGGGCCAGGATATTTTGAACAGGGAAGGGAAACACAGTTAGGCTGGAAAACTAAGACGAGCAGCTCACCCAGGCCATAAAGGAGAAGACTGTAACGGAGATGGCTATCTGGTGAAGTGGGCAGGAGCATTCAGACCGCCTCCTCCTGAACTTGCGCACTGACGGGGGGAAAAGGGAGGGGGGTGCGGAGAAGCAGGGGAGCAGCGGACAGGGGGGAGAGGAGGATGAGGAGAGGGTGGGGGAGGAATAGGTGAAAGATATGTAGATAGTGACTGCACTGGAAGGCTGGCGGAGGACAATTAATGCAAGGGGTGCATGGGGAAGGGGGTACAGCTTCTGAGTCCCTCCCCCCCCCCCCACTCCCCTCTCCTCCTCCTTCCTCTTTTTAAACATGTCAAGAAACATGATCCTTCCAAAGCGTCAAGCAGAAAAGAGTGAGACAAGGAAGTCAACGCATGAGGTGGCACAGCCACAATCCGTGAAACCCGAGGCTTTTTGTTTGCTGAATAGCCTGGATCTATTGTGTGCAAGAAACTTGTGTGATGGAGGTGGAGGTGGTGATGGCAGAAAAGGGTCCGTTTCATCCAAGCAGACCGTACCTTTGTCTCCTCAAGCCTTGAAAACTCGAAGCTTTGTCAACTCGGTGTATCTTCGAGCTGCTGTGGGAATTTCAGAATGGTTCACATGAGGACTGCAAATACCTCCAATCGTGTAGCACCGGCTGGACGGGCCGCAGCATAAAGCTTTTGAGTCGACTCATAAGCCACGGCATGAAGGTGCCACGGAGGCCCGGCACGGCGCGCTCCGCACTTCCTCTATCCGAACGGGAAGCTGGAAAACTCACCGGCCTCAGTGTCGCCCGATATTGTCACATTCGTGTACGAGCGGGTTCGCTGCGGCGTAACTCCCAGGGCCGTCGAGGCGCCGGTCGCTGCAGCAACGGCCGCGATGAGCGGATCGTCCTTGAGCTCGATGTCATCTGCGCCGGGCGGCAGCGCCGTATTCGAATGCACTCGCTGCATCTCGCAGCATCCGACTGCCTCCTAGTACCCTTCCTCCAATTCTCCCGAATCTATCTCTTTCCAATCGGGTCTCCTATTCGCCCTCCAATTCCCGCTCCGTCTGGCTCCGAATGACCTAACAAACTACCCGCCTGTTCCGCTAGCTACGGGTTACTCTCGTGGGAGTCAAATTGGTTCTCGCGGCTGCTTTGGAGTTTAGGTGGTATTTCGGTGAGCCCTGGGTTAGTAGGTCAAACTGTCGATTTGGTCTTAGAAATCTTTAAGAAAAAAGCTTGTCAGATAGTGAGTGCTGGTCAAAGCGGTACCAGCGCGCATGATGAACGCTTGTCTTATCTGGCAGGCAAGAGTTACGTACGGACGTAGTATGAAGCTTGAGCAAATTACCAAGAGTCACACCAGGGTCTAAGAGTCATGCTTACACGACTACAATCACAATATGAAATAGCTGGAGAAGGCGACGCGGCGGTCTGTCTCTGATTCTTGGCAATACTGAAAGAAAACGAATTCAAGCCAGTTTGCGGAAATGTCGGCGGGAGTTGAGGTGCGTGATGGGATTATGGATCATGAAAGTGGGTGGGCAGCCATGGAGGTCAGTTGCTGACTGGTCAATTTCGAGCTAAGAAAATGGATTGTGTCCATTAACCGGGGTAAGGCCGAAGGATCAGAGCTCTTTGGCTAAAAGAAACCATAAGTGTATAGACTAGCACTGGCTCACGGATTTCCTCTGCAAAAATCCACCAACTTCAACTTCCGTTCTTGAACGAAGTGCATTCATTGCAGATTGGCCCGGATTCTGCGTCCAAAAGCCGCAGAACAGTATTCATTGGCTGGTTTGGCTAGTTCCACCCTGCCTGGTTTCTTTACCACCTGCCCTGCCCGAACTTGGGATGAAGGGGAGCTTTCCGCCCTTGCATCCATTTCAGGTCAGCTTCACCAAACCTCTCCCCCCAAACTCATCACCCCCAAACTCTTGGGTCTTCATTTTCGTGTTCGGGTTACTGAACTGTACCACTTCGCGCGATGTGCTGCGAGAGTGTGACTTCAGTGGAATGCCTATGCCATTTGTATGGGCTCAGTGCAGCGGTTCCACAATTTACGAAACATTGTGCGATTTTCTGCGGTGCAGTATGTTCAAACACCACACAACACTGCCAGCTACTGTATGTATGTCCACTCTCGACTCTCTCAAATCCATCTTGCTGCACATAGAACAATTCGTGCGGTGGGACATTGCCACCGAGCAGCAACAGCTGTTTTCTCTATCTCGTGAGCCGTCATGGCTGGATTACTCTCACCGCATATGCATCGCCACGTCAGCCTTTCGCAGCTGCATCAAACGCCGAGAGATTTTTCCGTAGAGCCCCTCCTTTTCAACGGCTCTCTGACGTGTCCAAGGGCTAGTAAGGCGAGCAAGCCTATCTCCATCGCATGTATATCCACCTTGCCCCGCCGTCGAAGCAGCGCAAGCAAGCAGCGTTTCAGTGTAACCGCCACCGCTCGTTCTCGCCACGTGTCGTCCGTGACTCATGGTTTTGCGGGCGCGGACGGATGGCGACGCGACAGCTCGATTGATCCGAGGAAACAGACTGGCAGGGTACGCGCGTCTCGAGGCGACAGCTCGATTAGCAGAGACGGATGGCAGGGTCGGGACGAACCGTACCAGGAGAGCAGGGTCGGATCGCGGCAGGCTCGGACAGACGGCAGGCTCGGTGGCAGTGGCGGTGGAGGCTGGCGAGAGGATGAGCGAGACCCTCGTCAGGAGCGGGATTATAACGAGGGGTTTGACGCGAGCGGAAGGGGGAGAAGAGGGGAATGGGATCGCGGAGAGAGGAAAATGGGGGTTGGGCGGGAGAGGGGACGGGGCGATCGACGGGAGGGGGAGGGGGACGGGGAGCGAAACTGGCGGAGGGAGGGATCGGGGCGGTGGGATGCGGGCGAGGCGGGGGAGCGAGGGGGCGGGGGGAGGGAATCCGGGGCGCGGGATGGGTACGGTAGGTTTGAGCAGGATAGGCGGGGGGGTGACCAGAGGGGTTCCTTCTCTCGAGATGGTGGCTCTCGATATAGTGACAGGGGACGTGGTCGTGACGAGGTGCCACGTGGCGCTCGTCGTGACTATAACGAGGGTTATACAAGCGGGTTCAGGAACCGCGGAGGCCTCAGCGGGAGTAGAGAGGACGCGGGGCGAGGCGAGGGGTCGAGGTTTAGGGAAGGGTTTAAGCAGGGTTCAAGGAAAGGAGAGCAGTGGGAGATTGAGGGGCGCAGGGAGTACGAGTCCCGAGGATATTCAGGAGGGTTTAAGCGAGAGGATCAGGCTGGAGAGGAATGGGAGGATCCGGAGTCAAGAATGAGGAGGGAGTTGTTTTCAGGGAGGCGAGTGGGAGCAGCAGCAGCCGGTGGAAGCTCTGGGACGAGAGGGGAGGAGAGGGGGGGGACGAGAAGAGCAGGTGGGCGAGACGGGGTGAGGGAGGGAGTGAGAGGCGGAGTGGAAGGCAAAGACGAGGAGGGCGCGTGGCAGGACCCGCCGTTGCACGTGGGCGAGGTGGCGAGCGTGAGTAACGCGTTTGTGAAGCGCGCCGTGCGGCTGAGGCAGAGCAGCGCGGCGCGGAGGGCGTGGGGGCGCGTGCTGGTGGCGGGCGAGGTACCCGTGCAGGAGATCTGCGCGCCCTGGCTGCAGGCGCAGGGGGGAGGGGAGGGGGAGGCGGCGCGGGAGGGGCGCGAAGAGGCGGAGAGGGAGGGCAGGGGGGAGACGCAGGGGGAGGCGCAGGGAGAGACGCAGGGGGAGGCGCAGGGGCAGGGGGGTCTGGGCCCCATCGGCCGTGGGCAGTGTCCTCTGGACATCCTACTCGTGCAATCCGAGTCCCCTTTGCCCCCGCCCCCTGGGCTGGTGCGCGTGGCTCGGCGCGTGCTGTACGTGTCCCCTGCTGTGATGAGCCGCCTGGCTGGCGTGCAGAGCGTGGGCGCTGCTGCTGTCGCTGCTGTCATGCTGCTGCCCGCCTCGTTCAAAGTGCTGGAGAGTGGTGGGGATGGTGGGGGTGATGGTGGTGGTTATGGTGGTGAGGAGGAGGGAGAGGAGGTGGGGGAGGAGGAGAGGGGGGGTTGGGACGGGAAGGGTTGCGGGGAAGGGGAGGAGAGAGGTGGAGAGGAGGGGTTCGTGGGAAGGGCTGTGGAGGGACGGGTTGAAGAGGAAGGGGGGGTGGGGGAGGAAAAGGGGAGCTTAGGGGGAGGAGTGGAGAGGGAAGGGGCAGAAGGGGAGCACAGCATAGGCAGGCGGTGGTTTGAAAGGGAGGGGGGCGGAAGAGGATGGAGAGCTGGCATGTCGCGAGTGCTTGTGCTGGATGGCGTGCAGGTAATCAGCTCTGGAATCCCGCTCTCATGACTTGCTCTGGTAACTTCTGGCAACTTTCACCGGTAACTTGCTGTGACTCGTACAGCGGTGGCACACATATCTCTGTGTGTAATCCGTGCTCACACACATGCACACACGCACGCAATCACCAATACCTCCCTCTTTCCATCTCTTGTGACCTGTCTTGGCAATGCTCCCTCACTGCCTGTCGTCTCCCTGTCTGTGGCCTCTCCAGGACCCAGGCAATCTGGGCACATTGCTGCGCACGGCCCTGGCGTTTGACTGGGTGAGTGAGACCCTAAACCCGGGGCGGGGGGAAGAGGAAAGATGCAAGAGACGAGGGACGAGTGGCATAGGTTACGTGACATATCCCGAATTTTGTTCCTTTTACTGCTTGCATAACCTTCCCATGTGTACCCACTCAGTTCACTATCCATGCATCCATGCAACCCGGGTCCCACTTTCCAGTACTCCACGAACCATGCTAGTTCACTATCCATGCATCCGATTGAGTCGGGTCCAGCTTTCCTGTACTCTCTACTACTCATCATCTCCCCACCTTTCTCTGTCTTAGCACGCCTCTTTCCCCCATCTCTCCATCTTCCTTCCACCTGCCCGTGCTCCCTCCTCCCTCCACGCCTCTCCGCCTCATTTTTTCTCGGGCAGCACGGCGTGTTTCTCCTGCCCGGATGCTGCGACCCGTTTAACGACAAGGCACTGAGGGCGTCAAGGGGAGTGTTGTTTCGCCTGCCTGTGGCTGTCGGTGACTGGTCCCACCTCCTCTCCCTCACCTCCCACCACAACCTCTCCCTCCTCGCTGCCCACCCTGCTGCTGCTGCTGCTACTGCTGCTGCTACTGATGCTCCTGCCACATCTGCTGCTACAGTTTCCGCCACACCTGACGTTACACCCGCTAATCCTGCCAGTGCGCTTCCTCCTCCTCCCTCCTCCCCCGCCTCTCCCTCTTCCCCGACCCTCTCCCCGTCCCCCACACCTCATGGGATCTGTCTAGTGTTGGGCAGTGAGGGGCAGGGTCTATCAGCCACAGCGCTGCGCCTGTGCCAGCCAGTGGCCATTCCCATGCCGGGGGGGGCAGAGTCTCTCAATGTGGCAGTTGCAGGAGGCATCCTGCTCTTCCTGCTCGGCCCGCACTCCCCGCTACCTCCTTCCCGTCTCTCTACGAGTCCGCCTTCGCTCCCGGATTCTGTTTAGAGCTTTTGTTCTGGTTGGGTTCCCCTTCAAACTACCTTGTACGGTAATCTTGAGGGGTACTGCTGTGTCATTTGTTTTGCAGACAAGCTGTTGAGCAGGACCACAAGAGCAGCTTTGTAGAATTAGTTTACATTTCAACAAAATGTACAAGAGCAGTTACGGTACATGAAACTCAGCCCGTTCCAGCTTGCACCAAATAGCATTCCTAATTACACACATAATTCCCGCAAGTGCAGTACTAGGTACCATATAAATTATCACTATACCACTTCCAATAAGCTAGCAGAAAAGATGGAAAGTAGGAAACCTAGCAAAGGCAATGCAAGGTCCCACCCACTCACTTGCGACAAGTCTCCACCTCCCCATCCCTCTCCACTACCCCACAGGGCCACACCCCTCCACCTTCTCCCTGAGAAGAAGCCCTTTCACACCTCCTTGGTGAGCTTCAGGGGGGTCTTCACCCCATTAACCACCACATACCCCAGCGACGGCGACACATACTCCACCGTCTCACTCAGCTTGAACGGGGCCAGCTTGAACGGGGCCACACCGCCCGTGGAGCCCGAGGGATAGCAGTTGGAGTGGATCTGCACGCCTGTAAATACGGCATAGTCCGCCTTGGTTGCGTCCACGACTTTGGCGATTATCTTCTCGAGCGTGTCGTTGATTACAGCAACTGCTGCCTTGGTCACGGCCACGATGTTAGCCGGTGGGTCCTGTGCGTGCAGGGGGCAGGGTAATGGGAAGGAAAGCCGGGGAGGGAGGAGGGGAGTAGGGGCAGGGGGTGGGGGAATAGATTTTGTTACGGAATGCTGGGTCAGTCAACTGGAAGGCCATCATCTGACTTGGGTCAACCCCCCTGTTGAGAATTCTCAAAAGGGTCAACCCTAAACACGCAGCATCTTGAACAGCAGGTGAGCCGCCATGTCCTCTTCCGCTTTGTGAGGCACCTCAGAAACAGACAACCCCACAGTCTTTCCCCCCTTTCTCCTCTCCGCCAACTGACCTTAACGCGCAGCTTCTTGAAGAGCAGGTAAGCCTCCATGTCCTCCTCGTCCGCCTCCCCCAGCCCCTTTCCGTCCTTGAGCTGCGCCGTCAGCGCCGCCAGCGCACCGCACGCGCCCGACATGGCCGCGCGCCCGTTGCGGCGCATCTTGCCGGCCATGCCGGAGTCGTCAATGCCAATGTGCGTGAAGCCGAAGAACACGTCTGCTCGTGCCGTGCCGCAGAACGAACGAACGAACGAAGACGGGAGGGAATGATTAGTGGCTGTTTTAAAGGAGAAAGAGGAAAGACCGAGTGGAAAAGAGGGGTAGGAAGCGAATACGGACTGGTGATGGCGACGCATTCTCTACCGTCACGGTAGAGAACAGTGGGTCTGCCTCGCAAGGCATTCACCACATTCACAGCATGCAGGTCCTTCCTTCGTCGCGGCGTTCGCACGCATGGGCCATGACTCGCCAAGCATTCTGCATCATCCGCGGCGCCGCGCAACGCCGCATGTCCGAGGACCCATATCCCAGCACCCGCATTCGAGCACCCACGCGCCGCGTACATCGCTCGCGTCGCGCCCATTCGCGCACTTTTTCAGGAATCCTGCTGGCTGTGCGACGTTTGAGTCGACTCAAAAGTCACCCGCATTCAAGCACCCACGATCAAGCACCCACATCCTGGCACGTACATCGCTCGCGGCCTGTCGCGTCCTGCGGGCTGTGCGACGTGCCGGCCTTGACGGCGAGCACGCCGCCGGGCGGCACGCCGGCGAGTCCGTTAAGCGAGAAGACGAGCCCGAAGTGCTTGTCGACCAACCCGTCGAACAGCCGCGACGCCTCGTCGCGACACGTGCTCACCAGCGCAATACAGTTGTCCCTGGTGGTGGCGGGTAAGAAGACGGAAGAGGGTCAGTTCAGTTATCGTGAAAAAATCTATGGCGCTGGTGATGTCACCACGATCGAAGTAAGCAAAACATGATGGAATTGGGGCTCAAGACGCGCTACCTCTTAAAGCCATGCTCCCGCAGCTTCGCGGCGACCGTGTCGATAAACTCCGCCTCCTCCACTGCGCCTTTGAAATGCGTCTGAATCGCCGCCACTGCCGCGGGCGTCGCCTGCAATGGCGCGCGCGCGCGCGCGAAGGGGGTGACCCACGCGAAGGAGGAGCGCTAGTTGATGAGAGTGTCATCTTGAATGGGATAGAGGCGAAATGACGTGAGGAGGTAATTGTGAAACTTTGGTGTCGTTGCAAGGTCAGCCACAAACAGGGTTGTATCTGAATCCACTTCAAGTGTGTGCTGTGCTGCTGGCAACATGACGAAACGAGAAAATGCTGTGAAAGTAGAGTGCGCGAAAGGCAGAACAGAACATAAGCTGCGAGCGCGCAGCACAGTACAGTGTACCTCCTTGGCCATGATCGTTGCTGCCATTGCTTGCGGGGCGGTTTGAGGCGCGCGAGGCTCCGATCGAAATGGGGCGAATTGGTGACACGAGCGAGCGAGAACGAGGGTGAATGGGGATGAGATTTGAGGAACAGGGAAGCCGATGTGTGAATAAATAATCAAATGCGGGGCGCGGTGGTTGGGCTGGCGCAGTGGAGGTGGGGGGAGGGCGGGGAAAAGGGGGGAGATGATAGGGTGGAAAGAGGAGAGTGGGTTTGGTGATGGCGAATGGTTGGGCTGGGGCTGGGAGGTGGTCGGAGGCGCAGCGGAAGCAATGCACAGCTGAGACGTCAAGAAGAGTCAAGAGGGTGTGGATAAGAGCGGATAGGTGGCAAAAAATTCGGGCTGGTCGTACTTCATACTCATCAGATTCGGCTGCTTTGTGGGCTTATTTCTGGTTCGTCCACACAGCATTCAATGTGAAACTAGTGTTGCATTCTCAACTTCCCCCCGCAGAAACACAGGCGACTGCATATCATTGAATCCGAAATTCACAATTGTTGTGTTGTACCGAGTTGGAAAAATATAACCGTGGATTTGCACGGTCGGAGATCCCTACTCCTGGGGAAGGGAAGTGACAGCCAATTACAGCGCGACAGTTGTGTTGGTGGACACCCCCACGTAAAGTCGGCAGCTTCGGACTGTAACACTTCTATATTTCCACGGTTGGATGTACGTACTCGTGTACTGTGTTTTCATATCCATTAAAAAGTAGTCTAAAGATTGTTATCAAACGAGCAGGACATTCAGTCGGAACTGCCATTAACTAAGGAGCTAAGGGCGAACAGAACATAATGAACGCTGTTATGAGTTGTCAAACAAAGTTGCACGGAATAACAAATAAAGAGGCTAACCGAAGATACCCCCTGGCCACCTTTCCTTGCTCTATATCTTGTACTTGCTTCTATAGTGAAACCCCTTCTCTTTCTCAACTCACGCTACTCAGTAGTCACGTTCCTCCCGTTACTAGCTATGTGACACTGTGAACTGGCGATACAATCAATGGCACGCGATAATAATCTTGGGCTATTACCAGTGTCGCTGCCGACAAGCTACATTTTAACAAAATGTACAACAGCATATACCGTACAAGGTAGAAATAGCTCTACCCTGCAGATAGAACCTCTATTGTACCTGCTCCGTAAGCCCGGCACCGCAGATCATTTTCACGTTGCCCCGCACGATTCACTCAATCAAGTACTGGTACCATAAATAGAAGCTACACCTTTCTTCCAAAACTCCAATAAACGCAATTACTGGTCCCACTTACTAGTGACTAGTTTCCGTCTCCCCCTCTCCCCACCCCTCTCCCCCTCTCCCCACCCCTCTCCCCCTCTCCCCACCCCTCTCCACCCCCCTTTACCCCTCTCCAGCACCCTGCAGGCCCACACCCCTTTCCCTTCACCCCCAGAAGAAGCTCATCCAGCCCTCCTTATTCAGCCGCAGCGGCGTCTTCTCCCCCTGCACCACCACATACCCCAGCGACGGTGCAATATACTCCACCGTCTCGCTCAGCTGGAACGGCCCCCCTGCTGCTGCCTGCTGCGCCTCCTCCGACTGCAGGTGGCAGTTGGAGTGGATCTGCACTCCTGTGATGACCGCGTAGTCCGCCTTGGATGTGTCCACGGCTGTAGCAATCAGCTTCTCAATGGTTTCGTTGATCACTTCGACTGCCGCTTTGGTGACGGCTATGAGGTTGGGCTCGGGGTCCTGCGTGTGGGGGTCAGAGTGATGGGGAGGGAAAGGGGAGGGGATGGAGGGGGAGATGGATTGGGGAGGAGAAGAGTGGGGGTTGTAGATTGTTGAGTCGACTCAAAAGTCACCGCGGCTCTGGAGGGTGCTTGCCACTAGGTTGGCCTCGGGTACTGGTTGTGGTTTTCGAGTGATGTTGAGTGTGGCGGGATGGTTTGGCAGAGGGATAGTGGCGAAGGGGTGTCGGGAAAGCAGGGTGCGGGTGCAGATGGCAGCTAGGGAGGGAAGGTGGGGGGGATAGTAAAGGAATTTGTTGGGTAGGAGAACTCTGGCGCCCACCTTAAGGAGCAGCTTATCCCATAGCAGGTGCACCTTCATGTCCTCCTAGTCCGCTTTCGAGGCGCCTCGAGAACGTACTTTCCCCCGACCCGCACCGCCCCCCACTTCCTTTCTCCCTTTCCCCTTCCCCCTTCTCCTGGCCCCCCGAAACTAACCTTGCGCGTAGTTTCTTGGAAAGCAGGAACACCTCCATGTCCTCCTCGTCCGCCGTGAGAGGTGACTCAGGAACAGAGAATTCCATTACCTTGCCCCAACTCCCAGCTTCCATTCCCCATATCCCTCCCCACCCTCCCCACCCTCCTCCCCCCCACCACACTGACCTTAGCGCGCAGCTTCTTGGAAAGCAGGAACACCTCCATGTCCTCCTCGTCCGCCTCCCCCAGCGCCGTCCCGCTGCTGAACTGCGCCGTCAGCGCCGCCAGCGCGCCGCACGCGCCCGACACGTTCGCGCGCCCGCCGCGGCGCATCTTGCCGACCGTGCCGCGCTCGTCCACGCCGATGTGCGTGAAGCCGAAGAACACGTCTGCGGACGGAGGAACGAGAATAGGAAGGAAGGCGAAGATGGGAAGGAAGGTGAAATGCAATAAAGAGACTTGTACGCGTGTCGCGCTCTGACTGACCCCCGTGGGTACGCGTTCAGCCGAACGGGTGCAGAGGGGGAGGGAGGGGATAGGCAAGACCATTCCCAGCAAATGGTGATGGCATGCAAGAGGAAGAAAGGCAGGACGAGAAATTTGCACTGAACAGGACGCATAGCGCGGCACAGCACGGCGCGGCATTCGCAACATCCAGGTCCGAGTTCCAGCACTCACAAAAGCGCGTCCTAGCATTCCCATGCTTCCGTAATCCAACAAGCATTCTTTATTCATGCAGAGCACCCATGTCCGAGTTCCCACATCCAAGCACCCACAATCGAGCACGTACATCGCTCGCGGCCATTCTCGTCCTGCGGGCTGTGCGACGTGCCGGCCTTGACGGCGAGCACGCCGCCGGGCGGCACGCCGGCGAGGCCGGCGAGCGAGAAGACGAGCCCGAAGTGCTTGTCGATGAGCGCGTCGAGGAACCGCGACGCCTCGTCGCGACACGTGCTCACCAGCGCGATGCTGTTGTCCCTGTTGGTGGCGGGAAACCAGGGGGGGGAAGAGAGGGGGAATGGGGGGAAAGAGAGGAGGGGGGGGTGGAGGGGAGGAAGAAGGGGAGAAGAGCGGGTGAGAAGAAGCGCAGGAGAGCGAGGATAGCAGAAAACGCGAGAGCAGATGTAGGCGCAAGCGCATCGGAACAGGAGGGATAAGTCAAGGGAGCAACAATGACGCGAGGTGGGTGCGATGCGGGACGAGACGGGAAGGACGAAGAGCGACGGACGGGGATCGTGTATCGCAAATGTTTACTGAAAGAAAGCAGAAAGACGAAAACGACACAACAACGATACACACATTGCGGCTTAAGAGACGCTACCTATTGAAGCCATGCTCCCGCAGTTTCTCCGCGACGGTGTCGATAAACTCCGCCTCCTCCACGGCGCCGCTGAAGTTCTCCTGAATCGCCGCCACTGCCGCGGGCGTCGCCTGCAATGGCGCGCACGCGCATGCACACGCGCGCAGAGAGGGGATGGCCCCGCGAAAAAAGATCGCTAGAGGATGAAAATGTCATCTTGAATGGGACAGAAGACGAGACGAGAGCCAGACGTCGAGGTGATTTCGAAACTCGAGGTCAGCCACAACTGGAGGTTCAATCTACTAAACCGCTTTCGAGAATGCGCTTTGCTGCCAGCTGCAGGGAACAAAAGATGGGAAAAGAGCGTGTGATGTGAAGTACAGAATTGAAACCAATCACGCAGTACAGTACCTCTTTGGCCAAGATCGTGGTCGCCATTGCTTGCGGCGCGGTTGAGCTGACGGGGGGTCGAATGAAATGGGGCGAATTGGAGAATTGGAGAGAGCGAGTGAGAGTGAGGGTGAATGCGGAGCGGACAAGATTGAGGGACAGGGAATCCAATGTGTGAATAAATACCCAAATGTGGACATGGTGGTTGGGTTGGCGCAGCGGGGGGCGGAGGAATGGGGAGTTGGTGGGCGGCCTCGGGGAAGGGGAGAGAAGTAGGGGGAAGAGGGGGGATGGATGGGGGGCCGAGATTCGACGGCGGATGTCTGCGGGTTGGCGCCAGGTGGCCAATGTGGGGTCTGAGCTGGGGGGAGGAGCCGCGGGAGAATCACAATGGGCGGACCTCGGCGCAGAGATGTCAACCTGGGTCACGGTGTGGTACAGAAATGTGGCAACCTTTCAGGGCCAATTTCACTTATTACCCCTCAAATTCAGTTCTAGGCGGGTCGTACCCAGAAAAGTAGGCAACGAACCTGAAAATGGTTGCATTCTCAACTACTTTCCCAAAGCCACACAGAACTAGCATCACTCTGAAATAACTTGTAACAAAGTACAATGGCTTAGTGCCTAAGTGGGATTCAAACTCGCACGTAAGTTTATAGTTCGTTCTTTTTGCCTAAGGACGGTTCGAAACTGTGTGAGGCGACTTCTTTGATTCAATAAACGTACGAGCTGGAAACCCTCTAACCAAAGGTTACCGAGTCTAAAAAGTGGAGTTATGCGATCGGAGACCCCATTGAGGGAGGGGGGGAAAAGTGAGAGCCAGTTACAGCACGACAGTTGTGTCGGTCCACACTGGCACGTGAAGTCGGCAACTTCCGAGATATACCTGCCATTCCGGGATCTTCGCAAGCTTGCTCTCAACAAGCAACCAATGATAACAAGCCACATCACATCAGAGGAATTTTATTAGCTCCATCTAATCCTCATTACGGTTTGTCATGTTTAGGCACGAAACCACTTCTCAATCGTTATGGTGGCATGAACAAGTATGATGAAATTGTTATGTATTCACAGGTGGCAAACATAGCTCGTGAAAGGCTGGGGCATACAATGTATATGGCGTCTGACCTGTTTCCACAATCACATATTGACTAGGTTTATTCTATTGGAACTTAGGCTGGCAGTACCGCAGTTTAACCCTTAGTGGCAGCTGCAAACACTCCCTGGTCGCTTTCTCACCAAAGCAGGCATGCAGAGAAGCAGCGTTTAACTGGGGTTTAGCCTACAAAATCGATGGCACTGGCACATACCGTATTGTGGTGGGTGGTGACCCCCTCGGCAATTTCTCAACCACGAGCCACTTCCAACACACTTCACACACTTGTTGCACCCGTACTAGTCCCATTGACTGCCCTACCAATGCAGTTCCAATCAACTCTCCCTCAACGTTTGACCCATTGGAAGCTCTTTCTTGCCTTGGCCTTGCCTGGCTTCTTGCGCTCCACCATACGCGAGTCACGGGTCAGCAGACCAGCTGCGTCACGGGAACGGGGAAGATGTCAGCGCGGTAGCATGGCATTGTGCAAGCAAGGGTGGACGGGAAGGAAGGTGCGTGAGGAAAGCCAAGAGGATGGCAGACAAACAACGTTGTCCACATAATCTTGAAGCATTACATTCAAGGCTTTTGGTTTAAACAATTGACTCCTCTTTCTCCCCAAAAGTAATACCTATACCCATACCCAGCCCTTGGCACTAACTGATTCCTTTGAGCCACCCAGAATCAATGCATCACAGCATCAAAGCAAAAAATATATGTATATATAGAGGAATCCAACATTGGACGATCATAAAATGAAGCCTTACGGATTCCTCATGAAGCCAGAACGAGGTGTGGCTTTGCTAGAGAGGGTTACTGACCTGACTTGAGGGCCGGGCGGTACGTGGGATCAAACTGCTGCAACGCTCGGCTGATGCCGTGCCGCATGGCACCCGCTTGGCCTGATGGGGGAGAGAGGGAGGGGGGGGGAGGGGAGAGAGGGAGAGAGAGAGAGAGAGAGAGAGAGAGAGAGAGAGAGAGAGAGAGAGAGAGAGAGAGAGAGAGAGAGAGAGGGAGAGAGAGGAGGGGTGGAGCGGGTGGGGAGAGAAGTTGGGGGTAAAGAAATAGCGGGGAGGAGAGCATGATGGGGTAACGAACAGAAAGGGGTAGGGGGGGAGGAGCAACTGAAGAAGCAGTAGACAGACACAGAAACGGGCAAGCAGGGAGGGCGGGAGGGCGGGTGGGGAGGGAGGTGGTGTTGGGGGTGGGGAGGTGGGGAGAAAGAGAGAGCGAGCAGGAGAGCATGGTAGCAAAAAGGGTAGGGGAGGGGAGGAGCAGGAGCGACTTGAGAGGCAGTTTACAGACAAAAGGTCAGCGGAGAGGACAGTTCGCAGCCGCACCCCTCCCCCCTTTCCTCGTACACAAACCACGCCTCTCACCTGCCATCCCCCTCACCCTGCCATCCCTCCCACCTGCCATCCCTCCCACCTGCCATCCCCCTCACCCTGCCATCCCTCCCACCTGCCATCCCTCCCACCTGCCATCCCTCCCACCTGCCATCCCTCCCACCTGCCATCCCTCCCACCTGCCATCCCTCCCACCTGCCATCCCTCCCACCTGCCATCCTTCCCACCTGAGCATCCCTGCCACATGCATTTCTCACCTGACACGCCTCCGCCTTTCACGGTAGCCTTCACGTCGAACACCCCAGCCGTGCCAGTTTCCACGAACGGCTCCAGCATCGCCGCGCGCTGCGCCAGATCGGGAAAGTACAGATCCAACGGCTGCCCGTTCACCACCACTCCGCCACTCCCCTTCCGGAGCCACACGCGCGCAACGCTCGTCTTCCGCCTCCCCGTGCCGTACGCGCGCCCCAGCGCGTCCACGCACGCGACTCTCCGCCGCGCAATCTCCGCCTGCTTCTCCTTTTCCGCCTCCCGCCGTGCCGCGCGCGCCTTTGCCTCGTCGTCGTCCGCCAGGAGCTCTTCTAACGGGGGCAAGCCCGGAACGCCGGCCAGATCCCTCATTAACATCACACTGTCCAGCTCCTCATCCGATATAGTCGCACTCGCTGCCTCGAAGAACTCGTCCGACAGCTCATCCGGAATCCCCTCGTTAAAAATGTCGTTGACTTCAGCTGGCGCCTCTTTCGATACAGTCACATCGGCAACCTCCCCGCCCTCGGCGCTACTCCCCGCGCTACCAGACTTTTGTTTGCCCGGATCAGAGATTCCGGATCTGCCCGTGGGGGGCTCAGCCGCTGCTGCCGTGACACTCGATCTGCCCGTGAAGGAGAATAAGGAGCTCGAGGAAAAAGGACGGGAGAGAAGGGGTTTATTATCAAGAATTCTAGATAAGCAATGGGGCCTGCCTTGGGGGTTGTCGTGGGAGAGAATCGTTCGGATCTGTACGGCTCTGGCTCGGACGTTATGAAGGTTTGTCACGAGGTTTGGCGGCAGGTTCGGCACGGAGTGCGGGCGGTTGCGTTGGCTGTTATGTGTCGAGGGGGTTCTGCTGGCTGCCTCACTGCTCGCTTCGGAAATCAAGGGCTCGCGGCTGGATCCTACTACGTGGAGGTCCGTCCGATTAGAGTGGGAGGACGAATCGACGGATGAGAGGAGAACATTTGGGACAAGCCTGGCGGCAGCGGAGGATGCGGCGAGAAGCGCGGAGGCGGGCGATTTGGCAACGGAGGATGATACGATGGCGTCGGAGTGGATGAAACGCCGGGCCAGGTGGCTGACGTGGCTCAGTGCCACGCTGGCAAGGCGCTGCTGACACTGACGTGCCATGGTGGAAAAATGGCGGGAAGACGGTCGAGGAGGAGAAGTCGACTAGAGAAGGTCGAACGGAAGGCCGCGATTGCGCGACGTAGGATCCGACGTGACTCGCGAACGGCCGAGAATGCCGGGGTCGACTGACGAGTGAGTCGTGCCTCGGCGCAGAAAGCGGATACCGATTAAGCTGGTCAATGGAAAGCGGGTCACAGGAGCACCACGCGTACTGTCTGACAGAAAACCCGCGTGCGACGGTATGCGACGAAATACGAAGGCAAGGAGGTCCCCACTTCGCGCGGAGGACCCTCAGCTCCTTCGCCACATCATGGAGCGGAGCGGAAGATGCAAGAGAGAACGGAGGAGGGTACAAGTACAATACCCCTGGTCCCATATAAGACGAAGACATAGTGTAGGTTTGTCGCGATAAGCTAAGATGGAGACAATTTGTCTCTATAGCGAGTTTGAAACGTGTACGTTTGTCACGAATCACCCGGTAAACACAGGTCGCCATTCTTCGCATTGCTGGATTGACCACAAATTTTGCACGCTGCAACTTTCTGGATACCTCGAAAGGCTCTGTGTAATTGTTCGCAAGCCTTGTGCGAAAAGTCTGCGAAGTAACCTTCACACTGCTCTCAACACCACTCACAGTTGACCCCTCTCAAAACACTGACCGTGAACCAGCCGCAGCTAAGTCATCTCACTTCAGGCGACCAGGGAGATATGTCGTCTGCTCTAGACAGTTGAGAGAGCCACCTAGGAAGCAAACCTCATTTTTCGTATCGAGTTGATCGCGTCGCGCCTGCATGTGTGACATTGCCTAGCATGGCTCGTCTAACGTCATATTTATTCCGCCTACTCTTGGCTCTCGTCGTCTTCAGCGCTGTCCTGACCTGTGGTGCCAGCATGGACGATCGGCAATCCAGACAACACAGGAGCTACAGCGAAATCGAGGCCGAGGTACCGAGCCCTACGTCAGCCTTACTCTCCCATCGTTCTCTCCGATCCTCCTTCCCCTCATCACTTTATCACATTCCAATCCCCCACACGATATGTCTGAGCGAACTGTACGACCGTCTGGTACCTTGAATCTGCTGCTCTCCAATCCCGATCTCTCCCAAATCCCGTTTCTCTCTTTCCGTTCCCCTCCCCGATCAGCAGCAGGCGAGCTGTGCGCGAACTTGCGCCGAGGTCAAGTGTGACAGTGAGTGCTTGCCCACGCCCTCCTCCTCCTCCTCCTCCTCCTCCTCCTCCTCCTCCTCCTCCTCCTCCTCCTCCTCCTCCTCCTCCTCCTCCTCCTCCTCCTCCTCCCCCTCCTTCCCTATTCCTTTCTCGCCCTCTTGCTCACACACCACACTCACACACGCAGTCTGCCCTCATACGTCATAATGTCTTACTTCTTCCCCCCCCCGTGCTTTCACTTGCCTTTCGTTGCCTCCTTCCCTCCACTCACCCCTCGTTCTTGTCCATCCCATCTTTCAGTCCCAACTTTCTCGCAATCACCCATCTCCACTGCTCGCTCCCTCTCTCCCTCACCAGCCTTGGGTTTGCGTTACGGCAAGTACTGTGGCGTGGGATGGGGGGGCTGTCCGGGGGAGGCGCCATGTGATGACCTGGACGCCTGCTGCAGGAAGCATGATAAATGCGCCGGAGAGTTTGGTGTGTCTCTAGCCTTTTCCCTTTCACTAGCGGTGGTGTGAGGTTTCCTGTATATTTTGGCAGCAGTTCTCTTAAATGTGCAGTATGCTTACATTCCCTGTGTCCTGCAGTTTTCACTATTTTTATGAAACGTTTTTGTCTGATTTTGTGCTTGTGACTTTCTTTTTGTGCCTGTCATTTCTTTCTGAACTGTTTTGGTTTGGCCCCTGTCCTTTCCGTCCCCTACACCTATCGATACTTCTCTGCAGGCGTCCAGGCTGTCCAATGCCACAAGAAATTCAAGAAATGCATGCAGAAGGTGCAAGCGTCAGGAAAGACAGGATTTTCCTCGCTCTGCCCATATGAAAAGGTCATTCCAATGCTTGTACAGGGGATGGATCTTGCAATAACGCTCTCACAGTTTGCCAGCGGCCAAGGAATAATGGCTTGAGCTACATTGACTACACATTTTTTTTTGTTAATTCACATTGAGTTTACATGCCAGATCTTGACATTATTGAGAAGGCAAATGTGGAAATACCGCAGGCATACACGTAAGGACGCGGTATTAGTGCAAATATCACAGGATCGTCTGCACATATCGATCCCCGCAATTGATTGGGCAGATCGATTGGCGAAACGTGGCGATCGCGACTTTGTAACGATCGCCACTGAAATTTGATAGATCTCCCGCGATTTGTGATCAGTCGCATTCACGCACTGTCCAAAAAATTGGGCCAAAAAGCGTGCTGTAGCATGGTTACAGCGTAGTAAATAGGGTAACCAATCCGCACATCGATCGCGACTGACGATAGATCGTCTACTTTAACCGCGTCCTAACGAAATTGACACCCATAACACGGTGACCACCGTGCCTCGTTTGGTTGCAAATTCGTTTGCGTTGAATTTCCACCACGGCATTGCCGTGCTGTCGTCATAATCGCAGCGCAACGATCACACTACGCTCGATTCCACTCACCCACAACAGTTTTGGCGGTGCCAAACTTTGAATTCCTGTTCGAAGAATCGCTCGCTCGCACCGACACCGTTTCTTTTTCGGTGTGGAACACGAAATTTTCACCGCAGCCCATCTCATCTCAACTCAAACTGTTGCTGCTGCAACTCCGCCCGGTCTAGATTCCCAAACCAAGAACGTGAGGGGTGCCCACTTGCCCCAAGCTGCCCGCCCCTCTCTCTGGTCAGAATGAAACAACCAGAGAGCACATTTGGCAAGTTTTCGAATAGTACCTTCCTCTGTTTGTGACCGCGTTGCCTACCCGCGTCGCTCGGGAATTCTCCAGCCTATCCGCGGTCTGTGTGTACTGTAACTGTAACTGAAGCATTGTTGTTGGATGAGTGGGTTTTGCTCCTGTCGAGAACAGGCCTCAGGATATCAGGGCGTTTTACCCTGTTTGACCTGCATTTCAGAGTGAAATTTTGGACCCACACTGCTAGAAATGGGTTTGGCTGGGCGTCCACCCTTTTATCGTCAGGCAGGGCTAAAAACAAACCCTGCAAATGCTGTTTAACGCTTATGTGCAACACTGCCGTTTCCCGAATCGTTACGGCAGACACCCTGCCTACTTTTTCCCTTTTGCAGAAATTCGCTAACTGCGCGGCTTTTCTTCTAAGCCAAAATGTGTCCAGTAGCATTTGTGACTGAAATTTCCAGAATCAGCTAAGTAATTAAAACACCAGAGATTCAGCTCCAGCACAGTGAGTGGCGTTTGTGACTGAAATGTGTCCAGTAGCGTTCGAGACTGAAATTCCAGACACGGCTAAGTCCTTGAAACACATGAGATTCAATCTAGCACAGAGAGCGGCGTGTTATCGCTAGTGACCGCACCTAGAAGACCCACCGGCAGGCCTCTCATCTCCCCACCTCACACCACTAAAACATCAACCACCACGCACTTACGCAAGGAAACCACCCTCTTTGTCGGTTGAGGAACACACTTCAAAATCGGGCCAGAAAGGCCCTCGACCATATTTTCTGGCTCCTGGGATCAATCGATAATGGCAGGGTCGATTGCGGAACCCGCCCTGCTAGATTCGACCTCGAAAAAAAAACACACTGCCATTTCTTGGGTACGACTGCCAAGGCACACTGCAGAGGCAGGGTGTAGTGGGTCACAACTCGGATCAGGCAGCGTGCCCCAAAATGAATCGAGAGCCCTGGTCGAGAAGCTCCCCTCGCATCCCTCCCTTCCCTCCCCTCCCATCCCTTCCCAACCAACCCTCCTCCCCGCAACACCCCATCGCTCATCACCCTTGCTCTTGGTCTCGCGCCGCGCCGGTTCCATCTGCCCGAAGGCATCAACAAACACATGTTCGTTCACCTCTTCAACGAATCTCGCCTCGACTCGACTCTGTTCACTAGTCACGACTCACGACTCACCTGCTACTGTAAATCTCGTACCCAACCCAACCCTCATTCTGCCGCCATCCCATACAGTCCCATCCCATTCGCTTGCCACCGCATTCTTTCCCAGTCGCGGTGCGATGCGATCATGCAACCCGCTTGCGTTGCGTCATACTTTCTTGTGCGCCGAATTTTGGCCTCATGACGTAACCATCGCGCAGTCGACGCTGATGGCCGATAACATAAATAGCTATCGACTGCCACTGTTCAGAGCTCAGTTGACAGTTACTTTCCCTCAGACATCTTACGATTAGAGCCATTGCAACAGGGCGATATATGATCGCGGGATGTGCATCTTCCTCCGTAAACATTAGTTCCCCAGCGACTATAGTGTAACTTTTAAGCAGCTCTGAAGTCGGCGACTAGGCCTAGCGCTCGTTGCGGCGTGCTTTGCGGCGTGCCCTGCGGGTGCTGTCATCACAAGATGTCACTCTCGAGTTGCGCGAGGAGACTGCCACTGTCGTTGCTCGTGCTGACGTGGCTGTTGTCGTCGCTCGCTCAGCCCTGCTATGCCTACCACCGGTCTAATCGCATACGTTTTAATCCCTTCGCGAGTAGTTCTAACCCGCCTCCCACGCTGCTGTCCGCCACGGCGTGCATCTACAACCCCAGCAAAAAATCTTTCACGCGGACTACAATAAGCCCTATGATGTAAGCACATCCCCGTTACACGCACCGTCCGATTCAAACGCCCATCGTTATTAATCACCCCCATTCTCCCTTCCCCTTTCCCGCTACCACACCCCTCACCTACGCGGACTGCATTACAACCCCGCTCCTTCTGAATTCAACGGGAAAAAACTCACTCTATTTGTCCTTTCCGTTCTCCCGCCCACTCCCTCCCTTCTCCCCCGTCCCCTCCCCACACCGCGTACCCTCTACGCCCTCCCCATCCCCCCTTCTCGTTCCCCCTCCCCGCTCCCCCTCACACACGGCTGCAGCCGCACGCTATCAACGATGGACGCGTGGGCGCCGGCGCAGGGGCAGCGCGGGCTGAACGGCAACTGCCAGTTCCTCCTCACGTCCACGTGCGGCATCTCATCCACCAGACCTAGTGAGTGACTGTCAGCTCCATGACGTGGCGTGGCGCGTGCGCCGCGTGCTCGCGCCCCCCCGTGCGATCTGACGTGGAAGTCACGAGATACCACGTGGCGCGACCTAATGTGGCGCTTCAGTCGCGTCTTTTAGATCCTTCCCCCTGACTCACCTCGCAATCCCGCTTCGTCTCCGTCCGCTCCTCTCTGCCTCCCTGTTTCGACACCAAGTCGCGGCTTTCCCCCCTGCTCCTCTCCGCACATCCTTTCCTACCTCCTCGTACCCTCTCCCCTCCCGACCCTCCCCTCGCCACCCCCTTCCCCTCCCGCCCCGCCTTTTCTCCGCCCTCCTTTCCCCCAGATCGCTGCGACGACGGCAACCGCTGCACGGCGGACGTGTGCGCGTGGGGCGGAAACCGGTCCGCTGCTGCGTCCGCCTGCGCGCCCTGGCCAGCCTGCCATTTCGCGCCCGCCACCTGCACCAACACGCCCATCCCCGGCTGCGCGCAGCCTCCGCCGCCGTCCCCGCCTCCGCCTAAAAGTACAAAGCCGCCTAAGTCCCCCAAGCCGCCCAAATCGCCGAAACCGCCTAAAAGCCCCCCCAAGTCAGGTTATCCTTCGCCTCCGCCCAGCCCTCCGTCTCCACCCCCTTCCCCCCCTCCTCCATCCCCCCCTCCTTCCCCGCCACCTCCGCCATCCCCACCCCCGTCTCCCCCGCCTCCGCCTTCCCCCCCTCCTTCGCCTCCCCCTCCGCCGTCCCCACCCTCGCCCCCATCACCGCCTCCTCCCCCCCCGATCCCTCCAAGCCTCTTCAACGTGCTTGCCTACGGGGCGAAGGGCAATGGGGGGACCAACGACGCGGGCGCTATAGTAGCAACGTTCAAGGCAGCGTGCGCGTACGCTGCTGCGAGCAGCACGCGCGCTACAGTGCTGCTGCCGGCAGGATACACGTTCCTGCTGTCCTCTGCTATCAGGATGGAGGGCCCGTGTGGGATCAGCGGCAGCGGCGCTGCTATCACCATCCAGGTGCGTGGGCTGTCAGTGCTTGTGCTTGTGCCTAAATTGGTACATGTGGACGGTGATGTTTGACGGTAGCGCTGTCGGTGTGTGTGCGTGTATGTGTGCCATGCCTGCTCATGCCTGTGCCACTCATTCTGCCCACCAACACCCACTTCACCAAAGCCACTTCGCTTCACCTCACCCCTCTCTCCCCTTCCTCCACCTCCTTCCCCCCACCCTCTCGCTCCCCTCTCCCCACGCCCTCAGATCGACGGCACGCTAGCAGCGAACCCCATCCCCGAGGCCATCAGCTACAGCGTGGACGCGGTCATCTACCTGAACAAACTGGACGGGCTGCGCCTCGTGGGCTCGGGCACGGTTGATGGGCAGGCCGCCACGTGGTGGTCGCGGTTCCGCTCCGGGAAGAGCACTGACCGGCCTGACCTGCTGTACATCCAGCGCTGCAATGGCATGGAGATGAGCGGACTCACCATCAAGTGAGTGATACGCAC